AATGGCCCTCCTCTCGGAACTCACAACCCAACTGAGTTTTGCAAATGACAAGAAAATAAAGTAAGATCTATTCATCTTAAAATCTCACCTTAAAGCCATTTGCTGGACTGGCAAAGTCATCCAAGACGTAGAGTGCCTGTCTAGCAAGCATGAAGCCCAACAGTTCAAACCCTAGTACCCACCACAAAAAAAGAAGAAAAAAAAAAGCCATCTGCTATCATCCTGTGGCCCAGCACTTTGTTCTGCTCTAGAGTCTGCATGATTTCCTACAAGTATACTATTTTAAAAGCACAAATATCTAATCTCTAATTTCTGATGTCAAATAAGAATTTAATTTTAACTCTTCTACCTAAGAGTCTATTAAATATTGCACCCTGTGAGCAAACCAAAGAGTCCTTCTCCTGGACCACACCTCCCATAAGAAAAGGTATGTTGTACTATAAAATGATAACTTTTTAGACTTTGTTCCCTGGCTTTTCTCTCTTTCTTTCTTTCTTTTGATGGTACTGGGGTTTGAACTCAAGGCCTTGCACTTGCTAGGCAGGGCGCTCTACCACTAGCACCTTTGTTCCCTGGTACAACTTCAAGAACTTCTTTATGATACCACTGCAAGCCACTAAGGTCACAGGAATGTGTAAGCAAGACAGGTGTATGAACAGGGATAGTACTGCAAATTCAGAGGCTAAAGAACAAGCATGTTATACTTGGAAACACTTAGCACTGTAACACTAAATCATGTACACCAACAATAATCTGCACTACCATGTTCTTATAAAAATGAAGGAAGACAGACATATGTATATTTTTGGGTAGAATTGAAATTTGAACTCAGGACCTTGCTCTTGCTAGGAGAGGTGTTCTGTCACTTAAGCCATATTCCCGACCCTTTTTGCTATAGGTATTTTTCTGAATAGGGTCTCACATTTATGTTTGGGGTCAAACTGAACCAAGATCCTATTTATGCTTCGAATAGGGTCTCACATTTATGCTTGGGGTCAGACTGAACCAAGATCCTATTTATGCTTCTATCACAGCTGGAATGACAGGTCAAGACTACCACACCCAGCTTTTATTGGTGGAGATGGGGTCTTGTGAATTTTTTCTAGGGCCAGCTGCCAATCTCAATCCTCCTGATCTCTGCCTTCAAAACTAGGATTACAGGCATGAGGCCACCATGCCCAGACTGATGAAGGGAAATAACTTGTCCTTTTAATTGCTAAAGACAATGACATTTCACTATTTCACAACCCTTAAATTTGTATTAAAATATTGTAATACATTTTAGAACTTTAGATGTAGAATTAACAACATAGAATTAAACATGTAAGGACATACACTCACTCAAGTCTAAGGACAGACTTACTTTGAAAGCACAGAATCAAATACATGACTAATACTTATTTTCCTTGGATGTTCCTAACATAACCACTCCTTACTTATACACAGGATAACCACTGTGTTTTTAAACCTTGGCATTGCCTTCCCTTTGAGTCAGAACTTGCCCTCTTCAGCTAAATGGTAGGAGTCACCAAAGTTTAGTACAAACCCAAGCCCAACTCTTTCCACCCCAAATATGAAAACAGTAAATAGGCTTCAAGAAAAATACATGATATACATGATACTCTAATTTGGATTACCATGGCCCAGCCTCCCTTAGCATGAAGGGAAAAATTAAAGAGTTTATTATCTAGTTTTAAGATTAAAGAGGAAAAATTACAGAGAACAAGTTCCTTAAGGGGAAAACGGCACAGGTTCTGGGGTCAAGAAGACCCACCTTTGAGAGTCAATGCCAAAAATGAATTTCTTCTTATGTGAGTCACTGAACCTTGCTGAGTCCTCAGTTTCCCACTCAGGTTGGTGGCTGTTGTCATCCACCTGGCCCACATAGACCTGTCAGTAGACACTATGTATTTGAACATGTTGTAAAGAGGGAGGTGAGATAATGGTACAATTGTGAAAAATGACCTTCAAGCACACCCTTTGGGAATTCTGTGTATGGACACTTAGGACCTTGTGATATAGCTCCAGATTGTCCCAGGTTTTTGTTTTTGTTTTTTGGTTTTTTTTCTCTTTTAAACACAAATGAAACATTTTCCAACATTTTATAAATCACCATTTCTTATTACTGTGTTTATGACTCCTTAATGTTAATTTCTGAGTTTCTTAATAAAAAGGCACAATCCACAGCTTTTTTTTTTTTCTCATCTATTTTAGTGACAGAGGCTGAACGGCCTCGTGATTTGACTAAGAGAAACAGTGCATGAACCACATCTGAGGGACTGAAGTTCTCACTGAGCACAATGTTTTCATTCTTGGTCAGAAGGAACAAACAAACAAACCTCATCAGAATATGTAAAATCATGTGGCTATTTTCTCATGAGACCTCACCCAATGTGCAAATAGATGACTCTATACACCATGCAGTCTTCTCTCCTAAGTTCCACAGACCTAACAGTTTAAGAGACACCTCCACTTAGCACTTGAAACTCAACACAGCTAAAACTCATCTTCCCACTCCAGATCTTACCTTCTCCAAAACGTTTCCTTTCTCAATAAAACAACAGACCCATCATTCCAATTGGTCAGGTCAGTAATGTAAGGCATCTTTGATTTCTTTATCTTTCTATTTCTCTATCCAAAACCATTTATATCTTCAAGAAATTTGTGTTCTACCTTCTAAACTGCTCTCAAAGTTGTCCACTTCATGTCATTTCACTGCTACCACCCTGGCCCAGGCCACCAAATCTCTTAAGAGGTTATGATAACAGCCTCTTAACTGATCTCCTTGGGTCAACTATGGCCCTTTTCCATCTACTTCTCCAGAATCATCATCGCACTTGCTTAAAATTTCAATTTCCAAACCCACAATGGATTGCATTGGACTTAAATATCTGATCCCTGCCTACTTTGGCCTCATTCTCTTCCTCTTGCATTCTATGATCTAGCCATGTCTGCTGAAAACTGCTAACTATAATCTAGTATTTCTTCTCCTCTTCCTCAGTTGTTAAATCTTGATTTTTAGCTGAGTATATGGCCTGGGATAAGGCTCTTTCCCAGACTCTCTTACATCTAAGTGTGGCCAGGTAACTGAATTTGATCCAACGGGATGTAAGCCCTGTGGCATGGTCCTCTCCCTTTTTCCTTTCCTGTTTGTTGGAATGTGAGATTGACAGCAGGGGAAGTCAACTGAATTACTTAATGGAAGGTACCCATAGAGGTGGATAACACAAGATGAAGTCAGGTCCTAGGTGACTGAAACTGCCCCATTTATCTTGGACTGCCTACCTGAACTGCTGCTTCTTTTTTCTTTGTTTAAATCACTGATACATTAGTTTTTTGTAACCTAATGCACCATGCCAGACTTCCAGATTCTCCATTCTCTGCACTTTTATGGATGCAATTATCTCTGCCTGAAAACACTACTAGCTCTTCTTGCTCCTTGTCTGCTTTCACCCTCCAAATCTGAACCGAAATGTTGTCTTTTTCGGCTCTCTTACTTGACTCTCTAGATCAGGTTAAATGCACTTACTATTTATGCCTTGTGTCCCCTTAGGTAACATTCACCACACCTTTCATTATTTGATTAGTATCTGTCTCTTCTATCACACTACATACTCTCTAAGAGCAAGTATCCACTATGCCCTCTGTCACCGAATGACTGGCATTTAGTATAGACCCTGAACAAATGATAATGCCACAACTCTTGGCCTTATGTTTTAGGACTTCTATAAACCCTATCTATAGCTCTGTCCTGGTAAGATACTCTCACAATGTAAATACTGTTCCTCTGCATTTACCTTTGGACAAATCTGACAAGTGCCAACTTTCTGAGAAAATCTGCACAGTTCTTTCTACCACGGTTTCTTATTCTCATAATCATGTAGGTACTAGAGTGAAAATACTATGTTTACTCTTGGAATTTTTTTTTAAAAAGATGACTAGTTTTTAAGAGTTGGAATGCCCTAAGGGCATTTTAAGAGGAAATCTAAAACATATAAGCATATTATCTGAGAATTCTCACCTTGTACAGGAAAACAATCTTAAAACATTTCAAAATCCTCTGGTTTTAAAGTAAACAGAACCTTTTAATGACATTACAAGTATCTGTTGATTTAGTGCTTTATGTACTCACCCTTCACTGACGATTCTACATGGCTTACTCATTTTCACAAATTAAACACACTTTTTTTTGTTGTAACGTTGTGGTGTTGAAACAAAATCACAGAAGAGGGGTAGTGGAACTTAAGAAAAAAAATCAAGAGACGTGGACGATAGTTCCATTTTTGCCAATGAAATGATTCACTGTGTGATCCTGAATCTGGCTTTTCCTAACTCTAAAATGTAAAGTGTCTAGCATAGATACAAGCGTTTACTGTATAATTTACAAGTACTCACAGGCGATCTGGTATTAGTTAATCGATTTTAGATTTAAACAAGTCTAAAACTGATTCTTGAAGACCTAGAGTCTAAATGTGTGTTTTGAAAAAGCTAGAATTTTTTTCCCCTTGAGTTGAGAATGGCTTGTAGGTGTTTCCAGTGTGTTAACGCTCCTTCCACACTGGATTTGCAGTGTGCTCTGCAAAATCTTGCACAGGCTAATAAAACAGAATGGTTTTCACTGTCACTCCCTTGATCCTTGCACATCTTTTCTCTTAAACTATCCTGAGCCTGATAAGGAAGCTCCAGAGAGCAACTGGGCCCGCGTCTGTCACCTCCTTAAATGCACAACAACATACGAAGATATCTCGGCTTGTTCTTCTCTTCAGAACAAGGACAGCCTACTCTGGACTTTCCACACCTCTAATAAAGGTCAGTAAAAGCCCGGAGTGAACAGGTAAGAGATGCACCCAGAATGGGTTCCGGAAACCCCATGCTTCCATTCCAAGAACTTGGGGATTCCATGGGTAGCTGCCTGGCTTCTCCAGAGCAACCGCCCACCTCTTCACGCCCTTGGGGGCGACCGCCCCGCCCCGACCCCGCAGTCACCAGCCGGTCCTGACCTCCTCGAACTGCTCGCTGCTGCAGCCAGCGCCGCGAGCTTCCAGCAGCTCCCGGAACTGCTCCAGGGTGACCGACTCTTCGCCGCGGCCCAGCCGCTCTTCCAGCCAGCGCAACAGTGCGCCATGGTGCCTCGACACCAGCGATTCGCAGGGCGGTGCGGGCCGCAAAGCAGCCGCTGCCTCTCGCAGCCGAGCCGGTTCCAGCAGTGCGGCGGCGGGCGGCAGCGCCGAGGCCGCAGGGCCTGAGCCGGGGGTCGTGCCAGACTCCGCGGCCCAGTCCTGATGTGGGCCCCAGCCCTCGCCCCCGGCGGCTGCCGCTTCGTCTTCACTACTGTTACTCGGAGCGTTCCCCATGAGGCCTCCGTCTTGGGCCCTCGGCTCTGCCGCCGCCGCCGCCTCCTCCCTGCCTCGACCTGTCAACCTCCGACAGCTCCCGGCGGGAGGGGACAGGGAGGGGACGGCGGCGGCGGTGGCAGCGGCTTCCGGCTTTCTGGCCGTCAAGCGAGGGCTGCTGTCGCAATACCGCCGTCAAGCGGACGCTACCAGCTCACGACAGTTAGATGAAGACAGCCACAGCAAACGGTCAAACCCTGATTTCCAAGAGGACGCCTATAATATCTACGTCATCTGGTAGCCTCCTTTGCCACCATCTTTGTTGGGGGCAAATAACCTGTACGCAGAGGTCGCTCACTGCTGCTCTATTTTCTCGTTCCTTCCACGTTCTCAGCTGTGCTGAGAATATGAAAAAGAGTTGGGAATCAAGGAATGAGCTGTTCGCCAAATGCAGCGGGCTCATAAAACCTCAAGAATGCGGAAGCCCCCGCTATTTGGCCGGTGGGCAGCCACCTTGTGAGGATTGGGGACTTTCCACTTCACCCTTCTCCTTCCTCTTCCTCTTTTGGTTACCATGGCAATTCCCACCGGTGGGGAAATAGGTCTGGACCTATCCTATACGTCGTCCTCACCCTGAGCTCCTCCCCACTGGGTTTCAACCTATCCCGATGCCCCACAATACCGGAAGCTCTTGACTTCACCCAGAACATAAAAAACTGGGCTGCTGTTTCTTCAGCGGGACTTCTCGGCCCTGTTCTTTGGGGATGGTGAATTTCGCTGGAGAGCACACTCTCAATAAAGCCTGCTTGCTTTGTCATTTGACTCTGATTAGGCCTTTTCATCCACATTGACCTGACATTTGGTGCCAAAACCCAGGAGGAAGTGCGCCTTACCCGGCTCCAGGCAGTCGGGGCCCTGGGCCAGGCCCTGCCTTGAGGCCCTTCCTCCTCTCCGGATCTATGCTCCGGCTGTGGCTTGGGTGAGTCCCTTTCCCCTATTTTGTTCCTCCTCGGGCCCCTGTCCTAGTCACAGCCGTGCCAGGATCAGCCCCTCCGTTTCTTCTCACACCTGGGCATTCAGAAAGACATCTCCCCTGTCCAGGCTGCCTACTCTGAACCAGGTCTCCTCTTTTAGTGAGGGACGCCTCCCTAGAGGTTGAGACTCTCCGACAATTCAGGAATGGGGTCCTCCCAATCCAAGCCAGACTCAGTGACTCCCTTGTCCTGTCTCCTCTCAAATTTCCAAAATTTGGGACTCTCTCCAGGCCTCTGCCCCAAGCGGCTCATTTTCCACTGCACCACGGCATGGCCACAATATACTTTAGACAACAACTCAAAATGGCCTCCACAGGGCACTTTCGATTTTAATATCCTCACTGATCTTGATAATTTTTGCCACGGAACCCATAAGTGGTCTGAGGTCCCATATGTGCAGGCCTTTTGGGAGCTATGTTCTCCTCCCTCTCTTTGCCTCCAATGTTCCCCTTCCCAGATCCTTCTCACTCAAACACCCAACTCCTCTGGATCCCCTCCCCCATACCTCAATCCGTCTCCTCTGAGTTCATCGAATTTCTTGCCCCCACTCCCTGACAACCACAACCACCCCCATCACCCCACCTGGCTTCCCCTCCCCCTTCTTCACCTGCAGAACCCTCCCCGCACAAACAGCCACCTTCACCTCCTTCGGTCCTGCCTCCCACTCCCTCTGCCCCACCCACTCCCTGCCCTCCAACATCTCCAATAGCCTCCCACACCCGTTGACATCACCCCTCCCCACCCCCTCTCCTTTGTCCTCTCCCAGAGGTGGCGGGAGCCGAAGGAGTGGTCCAGGTCCATGTTCCTTTCTTCCTCCAGGACCTATCACAAATAGAAAAGCACTTGGCATCCTTCTCCGCCAACCCATCTGCTTATGCCAAAGAGTTCCACTATCTATCTCAGGCCTAAGACTTAACTTGGCATGACATATTCATCATTATAGCCTCCACCCTCACCCCTGAGGAATGGGAACGCATTAAGGTGGCTGCCCGATGCTATGCCAATGAAACCCATCTGGCTGACCCTACAGTCCCCGTTGGGAAAACGCAATTCCCTATCGTGACCCTAACTGGGACTACCAACCCGGGGCTCCAGGCTGTCGCAGGAGAGACATAATGATTTGATGCCTTCTACAGGGCATGGACACAGTGTCCAACAATATTGTAAATTTTGACAAACTCCTCGAGGTAACCCAAGGGACCAATGAAAATCCAGCCCTCTTTCTTAACCACCTCCAGGAGGCTCTGACCCAATATACCCGCCTGAACCCTACCTCCCCTGCTGGGACAGCAATTCTGGCTGGACATTTTATATCTCAGTCCACGCGGATATCAGAACAAAACTAAAAATGGCCGAGGATGGCCCTCAAACCCCTATACAGGACTTGGTGAAAATGGCATTTAAGGTTTTTAATGCCCAAGAGGAGGCAGCAGAGTCAACCTGCCAAAAACACCTTCAACAAAAGGTGGCCCTCCAAACCCAAGCCTTGGTGGCAGCCCTGCAGCTGGCTGGGTTACTGCCTCAAGTCAAAGGAAGAACCCGAAACCTCCCATCAGCCCCTCTGGGGACCTGCTTCAAATGTGGCAAGGAAGGCCACTGGCCTCACCAGTGCCCCAACCCAAGACCTCCAACTAAGCCCTGCCCAAAATGCAAACAGATGGGTCACTGGGGATCAGATTGTCCTGGACAAGGCTTACCCCCTAAGGCTCCTCGTGGAGGGTCAGCCCCATCAGCTATCCAGATCCCTGACTTTCTTGGACTGGCAGAATATCGATGACGCCTTGACTCGGGAACCCCAATCACCCTCGCTGAGCCCAGGGTCACACTCCAGGTAGCGGGTAAGTCCATCTCCTTCCTCTTGGACACTGGGGCTACATACTCCGTTCTGCCTGCCCACTCGGATCTAACAGTTCCTTCACCAGTCTCTGTTATGGGAATTGATGGCTCTCCCTCTTACCCACACAAAACTCTGCCTCTTCCTTGTTCTGCTGGAGGTATAACGTTTACACATACTTTCCTCATCATCCCATCCTGCCCTGTCCCACTTCTAGGTTGAGATATTCTCCAAAAACATGGTGCTTCTGTGGCTATCCCTCCCCACCCACCAGAACCTCCTGCCTCTCACTCACTCCTTCTGGCTTCTGCTAGCCATCTTGCCCCTCCCCCTCCCCCTCCTAGATCTGCTCCGCCGACCCTTCCCCTTCCAGTCAACCCCACTGTCTGGGACACCTCAATTCCGGTTGTGGCTACACACCATCTGCCCATCCGCGTTACTCTTAAGGACCCTAACCAATACCCCTGCAGACCCCAATTCCCTATTTCGGAAACTCATCGCAAAGGCATAAAACCAATAATTACCAAACTCTTAAATCAGGGTCTCCTTATATCTATAATTCCCCATGTACCATGCCTATCCTTCCAATAAGGAAGCCCTCCGGGTCCTATAGATTAGTCCAGGATCTGTGCATTATAAGTTAGGCTATTATCCCCATCCATCCTTTGGTCCCAAATCCTTATACAATCCTCTCCAATATCCCTCCTAATACTACTCATTTTTCTGTCCTTGATCTCAAGGATGCCTTTTTTACTATCCCTCTCCATCTGGACTCCTATTTCCTCTTTGCATTTACCTGGGAAGACCTGGATATCACCTCACCCAGCAACTAACTTGGATAGTTCTTCCCCAAGGCTTCCGTGATAGCCTCCACCTCTTTGGTCAGGCTGTAGCCTGTGATCTGGTCATGTGCAACACAAAACCCAGTATGCTGCTACAATATGTTGATGACCTCCTCCTGTGCTCCTCCTCTTAACAGGACGCTGAAACGGGAACAGCCAACCTCCTTAACTTCTTAGCCTCTAAGGGATACAGGGTCTCCCCAGCCAAGGCCCAACTCTGCTCATAAGTGGTTACTTTCCTGGGATTCTGTCTCACCCCCACCTCAAAAGCACTTACCACGGACAGGTTTCAGATTTTACGGGACCTCTCTCCTCCTAATGATGCCCAGGAAATTTTGTCCTTCTTGGGCTTCATTGGTGTTTTTAGACACTGGATTCCCAATTTTGCCTCACTGGCCCACCCACTATACCACACGGCTAAGGAGACTCCTACTGGTCCACTTACCTCTCCTTCCACGGTCCGTCGCTGCTTTTCTTCTCTCGGGGACTCCCTCCTTCGGGCCCCAGCCTTGGCCCTCCCAAACCCTTCCAAACCATACCACCTGTTTACAGATGAGACTTCTGGAATAGCCAAAGGGTTCCTTACTCAACTATCAGGCCCTATTCACTGTCCGGTTGCTTGCCTCTCCAGGCAGCTAGATCCCACTGTCAGGGGCTGGCAGCCATGCCTCTGAGCTCTCACAGTGGTGCCCACCCTCACCAGGGAAGCTCCTAAGCTGTCCCAACTGCGGCTGATAACTGTCTACTCCTCACACAGACTTGCTGACCTTCTCACTCATTCCTCTCTTTCTCTTATTGGAGCTTCCCGTTTACAGACATTCCATCTTCTGTTCATCAACAATCCTGACATAACTCTCACCACCTGCTCCCCACTCAACCCCACTACACTGCTCCCTACCACTTCACCAACAGCCTCCAAACCAATTCATTCCTGCCCTGAAACAGTAGAGAGTCTCATGACTCCCAGGCAGGGTCTTACTGATTCCCCCCTACCTTCTCCTGATCTCACAAGGTTGTTGACGGGAGCTCCATTCTGGATGACCAGGGAGGCCGCCGAGCTGCCTATGCTGTAGCCACCATTGGTCCTCCCCGGGTATTGGCAGCAGCTTGCCTCCCCATGGGAACAACATCTCAAAAGGCTGAACTTGTGGCACTCGCTCAGGCACTCACCATTGCCAAAGATAAAACAGCTAACATCTATACTGACACTAAATATGCTTTCCTTATAGCACACTCTCATGCAGCTATCTGGAAAGAGAGGGGCTTCTTGACCACACGGGGTACTCCGGTGGTCAATGGGCCCCTCATTGCCAAGCTGTTACAAGCTCTACAACTCCCAAGGGAGGTCACCATCATCCACTGCAGGGGACACCAGACCTCCAATGACCCAGTGGCACGAGGAAACTCCTTTGTGGACCTAACGGCCCGAAAGATTGAATCAGTTGACCCCCCCCCACACCCATTCTGTTTCTCTTTCCTACCTTTACTCCAAACTATGAGCCAGAAGAACAAGCCGCTCTTCTCAAAGAAGGGGGAAATACATCCTCCAATGGGTGGATCTTCAAAGACAACCATCTGATCCTCCCCTTGGGCCAGGCAACAGAGGTCATCACTGCCATCCACAATTCACTACACATAGGCCCCAAAGCCCTTTTCTCTTTCCTGGAACCCTTGTTCCACCCTAAGGGCCTCCAATCCACCATCCAACGAGTCCAGGAGACTTGTTCTGTCTGCTCCCAGGCAAACCCCCAGGGCAGACTCCATCTCCGCCAGTCCCTCCACCAACTCTGTGGTAGCCAGCCTGGTGAAGATTGGCAAATTGACTTCACTCATATTCTTAAATACAAAAAATTCCAATATCTTCTCACTTTTGTTGATACCTTCACAGGGTGGATTGAAGCCATTCCTATGGCCACAGAAGGGGCTGCAGTCGTAGCTGACACTCTTGTCATCACATCATTCCTTGCTTCGGTTTTCCACAAAGTCTCCAGTCAGACAACAGCCCCACCTTCATCTCCAGGGTCACTCAACTGGTCTGTGAACACCTAGCCATCACTTGGAAGCTCCACATCCCATACCACCCCCAATCATCGGGTAAGGTTGAGCGGGCCAACAGCCTGATCAAACAGCAGTTCACCAAACTGTCCCTGGAACTCCAGCTCTCCTGGATTGACCTGCTGCCCCTGGCCCTCACCCACCTCCGAGCGGCCCCCAGGCAGCCGACAGGCTTAAGCCCCTTTGAGCTGGTATATGGTCACCCCTTTCTCCTTTCTTACACTCTTCCCCCAAATACACCTCCCTTAGCAGAATACCTACCTTACTTCACTCTCCTCCGCTCCTTGCTCCAGCCCCACGCAGATCGCTACCTACCCCAGTCAGACGCTGTTCTGCCAGACCATTGCCCCCTGTCTCCAGGCGACCACGTTCTTCTCAAGCAGTTACATCTGAAGCCCCTCCAACCCAGATGAACAGGACCACACACTGTCATCCTGGGACACCTGCCTGGTACCACCTCACCTGCCTTAAAAAGCTCCCTTCCACCACTTCTACCAAAACTTGGCAGGTTACACAGATGGGGCTTGCTTCTCTTCGAATCTCCCGGGTTGGGGATGCTCTTAATGCTGACCCTAGCCTTTCCCCTGACCCTGTCTGAGCCATCTTCTCCTTACCACTGGAGATTCAAGATCCAAGAGACATACAGAAAGGGCAGTATGGTGACCACCCACCTCATCGGCTCCAGGGACTGCCCCCCTACAGGATGTAACAAACCCCTCACTCTCAACTTTATGACCTCATTTCTGAATAAGGTTTTTGGTGGTAATGCCCCTTTTTTGTGTTTTATATTTGATTAGACCAAGTCATACTGTAGAGAAGGGGCCAGATGGGCTGAGGAATATGGAGATTGCCCATATTGGCAGTGCAAAATTCACTGGATCATATGGAAACCTGAGTCTCCCCCAGGCAACATGCTAGAGGTCTGCTATGATGATCCCAAATTCCACCTCAACATTCCTGACCCCTGGCATGATAGATGGGCAACCGGGATAATAGCCAAGGGATATGCACATGGGGCCTCCTCACACCCCTCAACGACCTTCCAGATCTGGAGGGAGTATGAGCAAATGGTCCCCATGATCCTTGGAGTTCTAAAAGATCAGGCAAAGGCCATCAAGGAAGCAGAAAACAGCCTTCAGAACAAAACCCAGAGGGACCCTATTTCCTGGCTGTCCCTGGTGCAGGAAGGTGCCAACTTGTTAAATAGGTCAGGTCTGGCCAATGTAACTAAATGCTTCCTCTGTGCTGCTTTGTCCAGGCCACCACTCATAGCTGTTCCCTTACCTGGGTCATTCCCACCGAACGTGTCAGCCTCCATGCCTCCGCTCGCCCCCCCTTGCAGAGAGATCCTCTATTCCCACAGTTACTCTTCTGCTACTCTGATCCTGGCAAAATATGCAACACCATTATCCCTACCATATCAGGCTCCCTCTGGGCCCCTCCAGGAAGCTTCTTTTGGTGTAATGGCATGCTTTCAAAAAACCTCACCCAACAGGCCCAGACTTCCCAGCTCTGTTTACCTGTCTCTATGGTTCCCCAGCTTACCATGTATGAAAGAGGAGAATTCTTTCAACTCATAGACCTTACATCAGGAATCCAGCCCTCACCTCAACATAGGACTAGGAGGGCTGTCTTCCTGCCTGTCCTCGAGGGCCTATCTTTGGCAGCCTCAATAGCATCTACCAGTTTCAGCTCTGGTGCCCTGGTTCACTCAATAATCCAGACCGAAAGTCTCTTTCAACAGATCCTGGCAGGCTTTGAAGACTCAGCAGCTTCCATTGCCTCTCTTCAAAGACAGAGAACTTCCCTAGCTTAGGTAGCTCTACAGAACCGCCGCGCATTGGACCTTCTTACGGCGGACAAAGGAGGAACTTGCCTCTTTCTTTGGGAAGAATGCTGCTACTATATCAATGAGTCAGGCCTGGTGGAAACTTGTGTCCATTCTCTTCACAAGCTCAGTGATGAGATGCGCCACTACAATGCTGCCTCAACTGACATTCCTGGCTGGTGCAATTCAACCCTGTTTAACATTCTCACCCCACTGATAGGTCCCCTGATGATATTTGCCTCTTTCTGCTCCTGGCACCCTTTCTCTTTCGATTTCTCCAAGACCGCCTCTGCCAGTTAATGTGGGTAACCTTCAACCAAATGTTACTCCATGACCATGATTACCAGCCTCTCCCCATGGGGTCTGGCTGCATCTGTCAAACGACCCAAGACATCCCTAGCCCCTAACTTTGCCCCCCTTCAGCAGGAAGTAGCCGGAACCAATTCTGCACCCCTTATACCAAAGAGTCTGGGATGTTTGGTCTGTGGGCAGCCACCTTGTGATGATCAGGAACATTCCACCTCACCCTTCCCCTCCTTCTTCCCCACTCTGGTTGCCATGGCAATTCCCGCCAGCCCATGATGATCGGGGACTTTCCACTTCACCCTTCTCCTTCCTCTTCCTCCTCTGGTTACCATGGCAATTCCCACCAGCGGGAAATAGGTCCAGACCTATCCTATAGGTCCATGTCACCCTGAGCTCCTTCCCACTGGACTTCAACCTATCCCGATGCCCCACGATACCGGAAGCTCTTGACTTCACCCAGGACATAAAAAACTGGGCTGCCATTTCTCCAGCGCAACTTCTCTGGCCCTGTTCTTTGGGGACAGTAAACCTCCCCCGAGAGCATGCTCTCAATAAAGCCTGCTTGCTTTGTCATTTGACTCTGATTTGGCCTTTCCATCCATGTCGACCTGACACCTGCGACCTGGGGAAAGCAGAGGAAGCAGCTCAACCAGGGACCAGGAAGCCCGTGTGCGCCAAAGACAGATCTGCAAGATCTCACCAGGAACTGTTGTTTGTGTTAAGGTGGAAGCTTTCATATATAAATAACTCAACACTCCTCCGCTTGGGGCATCCACGTTCTGACCCCACCAGCGTCTCTCCGCTGAGCCTTTTCTGTCAATAAAGTTGCTTTCTTGCCCATGACTCCGGGTGTTCCAGCCTCTTACGAGTGCTTTGGGAACCAGAATCCTCCAGTGCACCCGTGACACAAAGATTTTGTGTGAGTCGTGTGGTGACGTCACGGTTAGCGTCTCAGCCATCTTAGTTGTGGATAGAGACGGCAACTTCAGGAAGCGCGCTGTGGGTGCATCTGTCTGAATGCGGAGGCTCTGCAGGCATGGGCTTGTGCTGAGCCTGGTGGTGGCGGTGGCGGTGATGGTGGCGGCACGGCTGATGGGCTGGTGGGGTGCCCACGCTGGCTTTCACCTTCTCATACCCGAGGAGCTGGCCCACTACCACGGTGGCCCCAGAGACCTGGGCCTTTACTTGGCGTTGCTCGGTGCATCTATGATGTGTCCTCTGGCCGCAGGCACTACTAGCCCAGGGCCCACTATAGTGGCTTCACAGGTACTAGCGAAGCTGCTCACGCCTTTCCCTCCTTCGCGGGCCGTGGCAGCCGGGCGTTGCTCATTCATTCGTTTATTTGTCAGTTTCCCGCCACCCCCTCGTTTGCCCACCGCGGCTGGCATAACTCAGCCCCCCGCTCCTTCTCTGGCTGCGCCCCGACTCCTGAACCCTCTCTGTTCCCACCGCGCGTGACTTAGGTTCCAGAAACATGAGTCTCCAATCGGGAGACACCTGGTATGTGCCAGGCTTAGTGCAGGGCTAGTGGGGCACAGCCCCAGCACTCAGTTAGCCTAATTCCAGTGACGTCTATATGCTCTGATCTGAAATAACCTTTCTTCCTCCCTCCCCAGGTTTCCCTTAAAAGTAATACAATGATTTGAGTCCTGGCTTCTGCCACAGATGCACTTGTCTGCCTTAAAAAAAGATGAGGTGAAAGCAAATGCAGTCACCTCGATAGCCCTTTAGTACTTAGAGTAAGAGGGAGGCAATGGGAGGCACGTTCCTGTAGTTCCAACTACTGTGGAGGCTGAAGCAGGAGGATCCCTTGGGCCAGGAGTTCGAAGCCAGCCTGGGCAACAAACAGCAAAACTGTCTCAAAAAGAAACAGGCAAATAAGCAACTTAGAATAAAGCTGGTTAATCGTTTCCCAGCCTTTTTGCTCAGATCAAGTGTAGTATCTGTTCTTATCAGTTTAATACCTGATACGCCCTTCTATTGGAGGACAATGCATTAAATGGATTATTGGAGCAGAGAGATGGAATAGGAGCTTGCTGTCTACTGCATGCATCGATCTGGTATTGCAGTGCCTCCAGGAACCATGCACTCCTCCCGGTTTCTAAACATGGAAAAATAAAAACAGAATAAAGCTGATTTTATGCTAGGCCTCTAAAAACATTTACCAATTGAAGTTTATTCTACTGTCCCCTTTGTTCACCTGAGGGGATTGAAGAATGTGATTTCCCAAAAGTGCTCACAACTAAAACCTGAAAGGACACAGAACAGGACTACTAGCCTAGTACTTTTTCACATGTTGCTTTACCAGCCCAGGGGACTATCTCCCAGGTTTCAAAAGAGGAAGGAAAAAGCAAACAATGCAGGGCAAGCCTAAAGCCAGGGACTAGGCTGATATTTAATAAGCATTGTCCTTATCTTAGGGGAACTGGGAAACTGCACTTAAATATAAATCACTTCTTCCTTGCCAAGCTTCTTCAGAGAGTCCAACCAGAAGAGACTTAACCCAGGGGCACAAGTGAGTGAGAACAGAGCTGGGACTGGAATCAAGGGGTTTTTTTGTTTTGTTTGTGGGGCTCATTTTTGTTTTTTCATTGTCTCTGCAGTTGAGGCCAGTTTTTGGCACAGTGTCCTGCCACCTGCTGATGTAGCTGTCATGGATGCATGCACAAGTGTGGACATAGAGTCTTCTGTTTTGGGGACTTTTCTTTTGCAGTGTACTCTAGTGTCTGTTAAAAGTTCCTGTATGCCATTTATTGACTACCATGTAGAGGTGGCAGGTGCTGAGGAAGCAGAGATGTATCTCTCTCTCTCTTTTTTTTTTGCTATGACTGGGGTTTGTACTCAGGGCTTGGTGCTTGTGAAGCAGCACTACTGCTTGAGCCTCACCTCCAGTTCCAGAGATGTCTGTTCACATGCTCCACACTGCCCACACACTCTAATAAGAAAGCAGGTGTGTTCACTCACTTGTTTAGTCTGTCAGTATTTTTATTTTTCCTGAGTTACAATTCACAGAAAATCTGCCCTGTTAAGGTGTACAATTCTGTGGGGGTCCTACAGTCGGAAACTTATGTAAGCATCATCACTACCCACTTCCAGAACATTTTTATCACCCCTCACCTCCTGGCAAAGAAACTGTGCCTGTCAGCAGTCACTCCCTATTCCCTACACCCTTCAGCCTTTGCAACTTCTACTTTCTGATTTACCTCTTCTGGGAGTTTTCATATAAATAAAATCATGTATGTGGCCTTTTTTTGGTCTGGCTTCTCTTACTTAGCAAGTTTTCAAGGTTCATCAATACTTCATCAATGCGTAGCCACACTCCATTCCTCTTTATGGCCAAATAATACTGCGTTGTATAAATATACCACATTTTATCCATCAGTTGATAGACTTGGGTTATTTCCTTTTTTTTTTTTTTTGCCTCTGTACTTCTATGAATATTTGTAAGTTTTTGTGTGAACATGTTCTCAGTTCTCTTGGGTATATGCCTAGAGGTAGATTTGCAGGGTCATATGGTAATACTATGTTTAATTTGGGGGAAAACTGCCAAATTGTCCTCTGAAGTACCTCTACCATTGTACATTCCCACCAGGAAAGTATCTGAATTTCAATTTCTCCACATCCTCATTAAGATTAGTTAATGTTAGTTCCGGGTCGTGGAGGTTTCAGTGACCTCCGGTATCCTATGGCTTGTTTTCCGAGCTAGTATGGCTGGGGACAGTTAGCCGCCGAGATGACCGTGAGGAAAGGAGGCAAGGCTCTCTGAGGCTCTGCCCGAGGTCTCCTTGGCGATGGCGCTTCAACCGCGGTTCTGGGAGTTGCGGTGGATTTACAGGAACCTGGAGTGTGGGTTCGCGGCCCTGTCTACCAGCTCCACGCCGGCAGCGAAGCCTGAAGTGGAGCCTTTGGAAAATGAAGCTGTTGCCCCCGAGTTCACCAACCGGAACCCGGGGGGAATCTGGAGCTTTTAGGTGTAGCCCGGAAAGAACAGGGCTGGGGGACCGTGTGGCCCTCGCGTGAGTTCTGGCACAGATAAAACGCCTCCAAAGTGCTATGACAAAAGGTGGTGTGGTGCTGCGGGAGCCTCGGAGGATCTATGAGTGAAATGGAGGTGTTGAAGATACAGCTACTACAGCCATCACAAGAGCATCTGGAAGAACCAGCGTGGTCAGTTTATAACAATAATGTAACAGTGCAGGATACTTGTAGTTTTCGCATCCTTTTCCCCCTTATGTGTGTGTGTGTGTGTGGCTTTGTTATCTTTGTTTTAATCAAAAAATAAATTCTTTCACTTTCTTGGACACAAGCAAAGTACAAAGGAAAGCAGTCACAAACTACAATTTAACTTTTAACATGTTTGTAAGTTATATAATAAAGGCATATTATAAAAAAAAAAAAAGATTAGTTAATGTCTGTGTGTGTGTGGTATTGGGGATCAAATCCAGGGCCTCGTGCATGTTAGACAAGTGCTCAACTACTGAACTATTAACTCCAGTCCATTATTTTGTTTTTTAATTATTGTAAATTAATTGTACAAAGGGATTTCATTTGATATTTCCATACATGTAGTTAATATACTTTGACTAAATTTACCCTCTATCACTCTTTAATGTCTTTTATTATAGTTATCCTAATGGATTTGAAGTGACACTTTATTGTGGTTACTTACTTTTCCCTAATGTTTAATGATGCATCTTTTTTTTTTTTTCTTCTTTGCTGGATTGGGGTTTGAACTCAGGGCCTCCTGAGTATCTAGAATTATAGACGTGAGCCACCGGCACCCAGCTGATGCATCTTTTCATGTGCTTGTTGACCATATTTTCTTTGGAGAAATGTCCATTCAAATCCTTTGTCCATTTTTTAACTGGGTTGTTTGTCTTTTTATTATTGAGTTGCAAGAGTTCGTTATACATTCTAGAGACTAGAACCTTATCAGGTATATGGTTTTCCAATATTTCATTCTGTAGTTGCCTTTTCACTTTCTTGATCATGTCCCATGATTTGCAAAAGTTTTAATTTTTGACCAAAATCTTAAGAAATTTTTTCCCAACTAGGGTCACAAAGATTTATACCTAAGGTTTCTTCTAAGAGTTTTATAGTTTTAGCTGAAACATTCAGGTAATTCACTATTTTGAGTTAATTTTTGCATATGGTATGAGGTAAGGGTCCAATTTCCTTCTTTTGCATGTCTCTGGTTCAGTTGTCTCAGCACCACTTGTTGAAAAGACTATTCTTTTCCTCATTGATTTTGACACCCTTGTTAAAAATCAGTGGACTGGCCAGGTGCCAGTGGCTCACGGCTGTAATCCTAACTACTCAGGAGGCAGAAATCAGGAGGATCATGGTTCAAAGCCAGCCCTGGGCAAATAATTCTCAAGACCCTCTCTCAAAAACATCCATCACAAAACAGAGCTGGTGGAGTGGCTCAAGTGGTAAGAGTGCCTGCCTAGCAAGTGTGAGGCCCTGAGTTCAAACCCCAGTGCTGCAAAAAAAACCAAAAAACAAAAAACCAATTAACTGTAAATATATGAATTTCATTTTGTCAGTTGTTATTAGGAATTCATCAAGGTCAGGCATTGTACCAAACACTGGGGAATATGTATTAAAATGAGTTTGGTGGGTTTTTTTTTCCCCTGATAAAACTTACAGGTAATTAGAAAAGACAGACATTAAATAGGTATCACACTGGAGATGTAGCTCAGTGGTGGTGCACTTGCCTAGCATGTGTCAGGCCTGGGTTTAAAAATTTTTTTAAATACATATCCTACAGTTAATTAACTTTATTATAAGTGCCAGAAGGAAAAAGTACCAGTTTTGTCAGAGATCTTAGCTTCGCGTGGAAGGAGGTGAAAGAGGCAAGCACAGCGAACAATGGAGAAAATGGCAGGACAAGGAGAATGGCATGATGATTTTTTTTTTCTTTTTTTGGCAGCATGGGGTTTGCACTCAGGGCTTAATTCTTGCTAGGCAGGCTGCTCTACACTTGAGCCATACCACCAATCCTTTTTTTGTGTTGGGTATTTTTCACATGGAATCTTGAGAACTGTTTGCCTGTCTTCTAACCTTGATCCTCCTGATCTCTGCCTCCTGAGTAGCTAGGATTACAGGCATGAGCCACCAGCACCCAGCGATGAATTTGTTTTAAAAATATCAGTCTAAGTGTTATATGGAGACTAGATAGTGGGGCAAGAAGAGATGTGTGAGGCCTGTGAAGTATCTACTGTGTTAAATCAAATAAGAAATGATGGCAGCCTGGCAGTGGGTGGATACTGATAGACTGATAACAAGAACTGTTTAGGAAGAAAATAAAGGAGTTTGGCACTGATTAAATATAAGGGATGAAGGAGGTGTCAAGGACTACATTCCTGGATTGAGCAACTGGCTGGCACTGAGATAGGGAATACTAGAGTAGAGGGGGGTTTCCTGGGCTGTGGTTGTTAATTACCATAGTTCAATGTAGATATTTTACACTTGGATGTCATAGCTAAGTGATGTTGAATAGACAAGTCAGATTGAAGGGTCTGGTGCTTAAGAGAGAAGTCTGGGCTAAGCTTTGATGATCTTTTATAAAGGAGGAATTTGAAACAATAAGCATGGATAAGACTGTCAAGTGAGGAACTAGAGAGGTAGGAGAAAAACCAGGAGTGTATTGTCACGAAAGCAGAAGGAAATAGTCACCTGTATTAAATGTTGCTGAAAGTAAGTGAAAGAATATGACAAATGCTGGAGAGGTGGGTCCCAGGTCCAGGAGCATCTGTTACAGAGAGGGTATTGCATTTCCCTGGGGATGGGGAGTAGGAGACATCAGGACATCTTTTTCAGAAAACAGACTTTTGAGTTGATAAAATGTCTGATTTATAACTGAATCTGTTGGAAACCTGTCTCCTATAGGCCGAGATGCATCCAGAGCATTTGTGACCGGAGACTACTCCGAAGCAGGCCTTGTAGAGGATGTAACTGATCTGTCCTTCTCTGAGATGCTGACACTTCGAAACTGGCTTTCTTTCTTTGAGAACAATTATATATTTGTTGGTAGTAGTCCACAGGCTATTTCTGTAGTTTTCACTTGATGGTCTTGCATTGCTTTTCAAGGGGCCAGGATTCTCTAGGGATTGGGCTCAAGGTTAAAATCTGGGTTTTTCACTTTAAACTCTGGCTGTTGGTGCAGCATTGAGACCCAGAAGGAGATAATGGATGGATAAGCTAATGGTCCTCTGCACCATCCATGAATAGCCAGCACCAAGAGGGCAGCTTCCGTCGGTGTCAGCACATAACCAGGAAGCCTTGGTGCCAAGTTGGTATGTAATTCTGACAGTTCCCTTTAATTTTGCTCCTGAGGAAACTGTGTCCCTGGTACAAATTATGCTGATCAAACATTGATGTTAGCTGTTTGGGGGATAGCACTTATTGCTTACTGGTAATAATTAGGGAACTTGCCTCTTAAGTGGGAAGCTTCCCTAACAGTGTCCTAAGGCAGTGTTACAGACACAAAGCAGTATATTGCTTCACAGGCACAGAGCGCTATCTTGGCTGGAGCCCTTACTTGTCTGCAGCCCTACTTCTCATGAGTCACACTGACACAGCTTACTCCTGGGGCATGCCAGTGTCACTTCACCATTGGAACATGTCTAAGTTGGAAGTTCTTTCCCTGTCCCTAATGCCTCTGAATGTCAGTTTCTGTCATCACTGCTTACATTCACCTGCTGTGAGAATTCTCTCTTCATGTTGAGTTGGCTAGGCTTTCTTTCATAATATCTGGTTTGTGCCTTTCTGTTTCCAACCTCAGCTGTTGTTGGTCTTTATCATCCCAACCTGCAGCATGGCTTTCTGTTTTCACTCGGTCTTCCCTGGATTGTTCTTGAGACCACAACCATGCCTGTCAGGGAGGAAGTTACTTCTCATACATCTGCCCCACCATGAGGCTGACAAGTGACAGTTGAGACATCACTGACTTAATAAAGAAGAGAAATTCAATACAAAAGAGAATGGAACCCCGTGAGTGGGCAAAGGATGCCAGACCTAATACTTTGTAGTGAAATTTGGGGAGGAGAACAGGAGTGTTGCTAATGTGATGGTGAGAAGAATGATCTAGTCTTGTTGGAACAATGTGTAATATGTGGAGGGGTCATGTAGCTGGAAATGATTCAGAAGAATTTTAAAGTCAGGAATTATTTGAATGTCCACTATTGATAAATTATGGTTCTAATCCTCATAGGGACCAGGGGTTAGTTAAGTCCAGTTCCTGTCACTCTGTGGGATGGGGATCATGTAAGTTTCTTTTAGGTCACCAGAAACTCTCAGGACATGTCAGAGATTGAAGTATATTTTTAAGGCATATACTGAGTGAAGACAGGAAACCACTGTGGCAGTCACATGGCTGGGCCTCAAGGGAAAATAAAATGGCTTTTGTGGTGCTCTGGAAACAGATGGGCTTAGAGACCCACCTGATAACCACTGTGTCATGATACAGATTCTAGAACTCTGTCTCTGCTCCTGCTATCCTCTCTTTGGGTCTCATGTCTAAAACTCACCAAAACAGAAATGTAATACAGAGCCCCTCGGTAGCCAAAATTCTATGCCATGCCAACCCAAAACAGACCTGGGACCAGTGCCCTATTTATTTGGCATGTATTTTTAGAAATGATCTGTGCAAAGCTGTTTTGAGTGCTGGGCCTTACTGGTGGGTAGAAACATGTCCTAAACAAGTAAACTGAACCAAAACCTCCGAATAGGGCTATGGATAAAACTGATGTGCTGTGTGTTTGGGGGTAGTGGGCACCTTTAGAGCAGGTTGTCAGGGGAGGCCTTACGGAGATGACAGCTAAGTGGAGGCCTGACAGTGAGAAGGGGACAGCCATACTGAGACCTAGAAAGAGGATTTCAGACTGAAGGAGGATTCATGCCTGAGGTAGGGAGCAGTGAAGACTGGCTGGGTAATGGAGAGGAAAACAACATGCTGGAGCCCACAGGGAATAAGGGAGCAAGAGGCTTGAGAAGAGGCTGAAGAAGCTAACAGAAGTCAAATAGCTGTAGGACCCTAGAGACCTAGAAAAGAAATTTGTATTTTATCCACATGCTTTAGGGGAGGTTTTAAAGAGGCAGAGAAGTGAGCTACATGATTCATGTTTTAAAAAGAGTACCTAGGTCAGGCATAGTGGTACATACCTGTAATCCTAGCTACTCAGAACGCTGAGGCAGGAGAATCAAGAGTTCAAGGCTAGCTTGGGGTACATTATGAGACTGTCTCAAAACAAAATTTTAAAAGTGGGGGAGGTGTTGAGGACGACTCAGTGGCATGTGCTAAGCTGTGGGTTCAATCTCATTCCCTCCCTCCAGTATGAGTGGTTAGTATGTGACCATCAGGCTACAGTAGAACCCTGTGGCCTAGACTCTGAGAACTTGAATTTGACTCCAACTGATTACAAAAGTTCAGCATCTGTTCATGCCTCATTCTCACTGTGCCTCTTACTTCTCTCCTGTCACCACAGGAAGGGTGATCGGAAGGTTCTATGGAGAGGATGGGCTGCCCACCCCAGAACTGACCCAGGTAGAAGCCGTGATGACCAAAGGCTTGAAGGCAAATAAACTGGAACAGAAAGAGAAGCAGAAGTTCCCTCAGTGCAATACTGAGTGGCGTGCCAACAAGGGCAGCTGGTTCTGGTGTTCCCCAAAGAGGTAAGCAGGCTTCCCTTCTGCTTCCTCTGCTTCTCTCCCAAATCATATTTTTAGGCCACCAAGTCTGCATTTTTCAGTGAATTCATGAGTTGTTTGCTAACCTAGGAGAACTTTTTCAAAATATATGCACTCTGTGATAGTGCCTCATCCTTGGCTCCGTGTTAGATCTCTGGGGAGTTTACTGATGGTAGATCTGTGACGATAAATACTTTAAAAAAATGAGTAAGAACATGAAGACTGAGACCTGGGCATCATCCCTACTGTCCAACACCCCCAAAGATCCTGCTGAAGGAGGAATTGTGTTCTAGGAATGAGAAGGCACAAGTAGTGTTTTTTGTGTGATTTGACTGGGTCAGCCATCTTTGGTCCTCCCTTTCCTGTTTGTTAGCCTGAGCTGGGCCATTCCTTCCTGCAGGAGAGTAGGATGAGGCGGTGGCCCATACTATGATGTCTTCAGATGATGGTTTTTAATTTTTTTTTGGCTGGACTGGGGTTTGAACTGAGGGTCTCACACTTGTTAGGCAAGCACTCTACCACTTGAGCCACACCCCCAGCCCTTTTTACTTTTCAGGTAGAGTCTCGTGTTTTTTTCCCAGGTTGGCTTGGACCTGAGATCTTCCTTTTTTTTTTTTTTTTTTCTTTTTTTGCAGTACTAGGGCTTGAACTCAGGGCCTTCACTTTGAGCCACTCCACCAGCTCTATTTTTGTGAAGGGTTTTTTGAGATAGGGTCTCACAAACTATTTGCCTGGGCTGGCTTCAAAATGCGATCCTCCTGAGTATCTATGATTACAGGCATGAGCCACCAGTGCCCAGCCGATCTTCCCATTTCTACCTCCCTCATATTGTAATGACAGGTGTATACCACCACACCCAGCTTGTTTGTTGAGATGAGGTTTCCCTAACTTGCCTGGGCTGGCCTTGAACTACAAACCCTCCAATCAGTCTCCCATCTCATGAGTAGCTGTGATTACAAGTGTGAACCACCAGGCCTGGCTCTCAGATGCTGTTTTAAAATCACTGCATGACTGTATTACAGTGCTTGCCTAGCATGCATAAGGCCCTGCACTGCAAATAAATAAGCAAAGAAACAAACAAATGCATACATGCACATACATATTGGACATTCTGAGCAATTCTAGGAAGTGTAGGCTATGTGAAAAAGTCTTTTCCTGGAAAAACAAAGTGAGATGAGCCAAATTAGAAACAATTCATAGGGAATTACTCCAGCTGGGTTTGGGAAGCTGCAAAAATGTACTTTTTTTCTTGCTTGAATCATCAGGCCAGCATGATCCAAACTTCAACTCAACTCTTTCAAATCTCCTTTGGCTCTAGTAAGGGGACAAAGGAAACCAGAAACCACACAATCCTTCCAGTCTCAGAGGCCTTAAAGCAAGAGTCTAGCTTTCACCAAGGAGGGACAGGAAGGTCTCTGTTCTCGCTAATGTAGGAGAAGGGCTGCCTCCCTAAGTGCTAAGCTATGTAGACCTATGTGCTTCCTCAAGGAAGCGATCCACTGAGAGCAAACAGTTAAAGCCACCAGCTTTCTCTAGACCCAGTCACTGTGTCTGTCACACATGTCCTCACCTGAATTCAGGGGAGCAGAGTTAAGGCATAGGATGAAAATCCTCTTCTGGCCATCAGTTTTAAAGACACAATTTCTGTAGTGTCGTCAAAACCTGGCCTGTCCACTCCAGGGAGAAGAGCTGAGTCTGTGGTCTTCCTGGTACACAGCCTGAATGCAAGTGACCTGACAGCAGTGGTTCCATAGGAGGAGCTAGGAGCCTATGCACCCTAGAGAGCCTGCCCCCTTCTTCCCCACAGCCCTCCTCTGGCTGATGAAACTTGTTTTCAGGACTAAGTTGCTCAGAAGCTGCCTTCCCATAAGGCCCTTGTAGGCCCACCCCCAATGAGTGCTGGGCCCATCCCTGAGTCTCAGCCCAATGTGTTGTTTTTCACTTATGTGTGTCTCTGAGATAAGCCAGTTTTGGAAGAAGTGTAGAGTAAGGATCACATAGTGGTGGAGTAGATGGCTGGGGAAGAGGGAGGCATTTTGGTGCCCTGGCAGCCCTGTTCGAAGACAAGCTATAATTGGGTTGGTTTCTTTGTGGCAGTTTCTCTGATAGCCAGAGATCCTATCAGAGAATCTCTGATAGCCAGAGATTCCTGGGCATGGGAATCTATATCAGTTCATGAATCTTATTTTCCTTTTGCAAGGTCTTTTGAGTCCATAAAAGATTGAATGAACTAAGATAAGTCCCTCTGCCCAGGATTGGAGGTTGACAGGCTATGCTGAACCACAGCAGAATCTTCCATCCCAGAGGCCTGGTGAAGTCAAAAGCTGGACCCATATAGGCCAGCACAGTGTTCAGCTTTACCTGGTGCCAAGGCCTCCCCAAGAATGCTGACCAGCTGACTGGACCCTTCCATTTGGCCACCCCAGCAAGTAACCAGGTCCTAAGGTCAGTGTGCCATCCTGAACTAGATGTGATGGGAAAGGAGAAAGGAGCTCAGACTAGTGGGGGTAACCCTGTCTTAGCTACAAGCATCAGTGCTAGAAGTGATGCTGCTGCCTCAGAAGAAACAGGGAGGGACCAGGGTACCATGAAAGGGACATAGGTTCTACCTGGAGAAGGTGGGATTTGTGCTGTATAGGGGGAAGCTATAGGAAGTTAGGAGAGCAGAGATCAGGGGTTGAATGCAGCAAAATGCTGCCCAGGTCAATATGGATATATGAAGTGCTGTAGCTTCTCCTGTTTATAGGGCCTGGCTTGCAACTTATTCCTGTCTTGATCCCAGAGAGACTGGAAAGTTCATGCTTTTAAGAAGTCCTCTTTTCTTCCGTTCTTAGTGGAGGCATAAACAGAGACTAGACTGGTGTCCCCAGGAAGTGCTATAAGCCAGGGACCAAGAAGCCGTGCTGTGTGTGTGTGGGAACAACTGGTTCCCCCAGTGACCAGCCGGACAGCCCTACACACAGAAATCGTGGGGATTTGGATGACCCCAACTTGGAAGAATACACAGGTTGCCCACCCCTGGCCATTATGTGCTCCTTCCCACTCTAAATTGGTATCCTGATGTGTTGATGAAACAGAAAACCCTGCCTAGGACTCCAGTAGCCCTTGCCAGTCATGTACCCTAGGATGGCTCCTGGCACGAAACAAGAGTCCAGCAGGACCCACCTACGCTTTGTGAATGTGCCTCGTAAGGGGCTCACCATGTGGTGGCTAAGGCAAGAGCCTGGAAGACTGCCTGGCACTGCCAACCTCTTCTGATACATCCCCCAGGTGTGCCTGCCATCTTCCTTCAGGTACTACGGCACGAACACGGAAACCATCTCTGAGCTCCAACAGCCTTCTCCCCAGGACTCCCATGGTACCTGGATGAGCTGCCAGTGTGGGCTCTGCCCATAACCAGCCTCATGGACATCCAGAACAGTGACAGAAAGGGACTGTGGCTGTCAGCAGGTAAGTAGAGATGTCCCAAGAAGCTGGGGTGGGACTTTTTACTCTGAGTAGGTACTTTACCACTTGAACCGTAATCGCAAGTCCTTTTTGCTTCAGGTTATTTTTCAGATATCCTACCTATGTCTCCCATGTAGCTGGAATTACAATTTTGTACCGCCACTCCTGGCTTGTTTGTTGAGATGCGGTCTTACTAACTTTTTGCCTGGGTTAGCCTGGAGCCGTGATCCTCTTAATCTCCACTTCCTGAGTGCTGGGATTAGTCATGAGCAACCACAACTGGCACCTCCCTCATCCCCTTTTGAGACATCTTACTATGTAGACCAAACTAGCCTCAAACTCTCAATCCTCCAGCCCCAGCCTGTGGAATGCTGGGATTACAGGCATGCACCACCACACCTGGCTGAAGCTATGCATATTAACACCATCAACATAACTTCTTGATCCCCCACTGGCTAAGCTAGTGATCACTGACTTTCATTATCTTTTTTCCTATCCTCTATCCTCAGGCAAACTTGAATTTCTTACTGAGAGGTCAGACTTGATTAGAGGTGGGCATACAGTGCAATGTGATAAGATGGGATAGGCTAATTCTGGATATGGAAGCACCAGTTTCTATGGATGCAGCAAACCCAGATGTCTTTGAGCAAAGCAGTGATTTTTTTTGGTGGTTCTGGGGTTTAAACTCAGGGCCTTGTCCTTGCTGGGCAGGTGCTATACCACTTGAACCACAACCTCAGCCCTTATTCCTTGAGATTTTTTATAAAGGGTCTTGCATTTATGCCTGGGTTGGCCTGGACTGCAATCCTAGTTACACTTCTCGCGTAGCTGGAATGCCAGGCATGTACCACCATGCCCAGCTTTTTATCGATTGGGATGAGATATCATAAACTTTTTCCCCAGGCTCTCCTCAAACTGCAATTGTTTCCATCTCTACTTCCCAAGTAGCTAGGATTACAGGCATAAGCAACAGTTTAAAGCAAGTATATATGGTTTCTTAACACTTAAAAGTGAGGTGTGGTGTATTTTCAGAGGGGGAAGCCTGTATTTTGAGCAAAAGGCAGTTTTGCAGCTCTAATAAGGTAAGTGGTTGATCTGACATCATAGTTTGGGCAAGGCTGTAAATGCCAATACAAACCATTACTTAATAATTACTTAAGGTGGCCAGGCTTGCAACACACGATGTGTATGTCCCAAGGCCATGTCACTGCGTACACTTGACCAAGTCCATACCCAGTCACCTCTTGGAATTTTTAACTTACTAAAGTAGATGCGGGCAAGGAGTGTCCCTCCTGCACAGAAAGGAAATGAAGGTCTGTCCTGCTTTAGGTTCCTGGGGCTGCCTTACCTTATCTCTCTATCCCTCTCTTCTTCATCTGTCCCTCCTGTACTTGTAACCTTTTCCAGCTTCTGGTTCTTCCCTGTAAGTATGCATTGAAGAGCTCACTTCTCTTTTTTGTGGGACAGGGTTTTTAAAGACAGAGTCTCACCATGTAATCCAGAGCGGTCTTGAACTCTTGATCTTCCTGCCTCTGCCTTCTGAGTGCTGGGTTTACAGGTGTGTGCACCACCACACCTGGCTTTGGGATTCTGTGTGTATGTGTGGGACAGGGGTTGGAATTCAGGACTTTGTGCTTCAAAGCAGGCATGCTACCACTTGAGCTGCACCTCCAGTATGGCTTTGGGGTTCTTGATTCCGGATTCATTGCTATTTCTACTCCTCCATATTTCTGTACGTCTCTGCTCTCCTACGGACGAGATCCAACAGAGAGGAGGAGAGTTGGAATGAGGACCTTGTTTTATGTTCCAGACAGCCCTTAGTGCCTGAGGCTTCTGTGTTAACTGGAAATGCCTCTCCAAAGCAGGGTAACAAAACTAGTCCTTTAGTCACTCAGTATTACCACACATCTGGGTACCAGTAGGCAAGCAGTGGGTGAAGTGAAGCTTCTGGTCTCAGTCTTAAAGTATGGTGGGGTAAAGCCCTGCTTAGAGCACCAGAGGCCATTCTTGGGGGGTAGGACTTAAGGAGCGTGAAGACAGGCTCCAGAGATGTGCAGACCCACCCAAAGCAAACAGAGGAGCAAAACAACGTGCACTCAGGCATTGCAGCCACATGTGCCAGACACCTGACCTCCTACTGAAGCAAGGCCTCTGAGCCCATGATCCCGGATAAGCTGGCCAGCTTCAGACACTCACACAGTGACTTACTCAATGAGAACTCATTTCTTCTCTTACGGTAAAGAAACTTCCCTCGTGTCATGGCAGTTGATTCAGCAAGAAGACTGTCATTTTAGTGGTCCAAAGGGCTTGCATGAGAAGCTGGTAATTACTGAAAAAAGGGCCTCTCCCTTCCGTCTAGTAGTGGCCCTGGGCAACACTATGGAGGAAGGCAGTCCCTCCCCGAGGGAGGCTCAGGCTTTTCAGTTAGACTGGCTGGCAGAGGGAAATGGAGAAGAAAACTAGCCTGTGTTAGGCAACTACACCAGGCCAGGCCCCATGCAAGGAGTTTCATTCTCATGTAATCTCTGCTGGCCTTGATCACAATCCCATTTTACGGCACAGAAAAATGGGCATAAATATCCCCCATCCTAGAGACAGAATTCCCACAGGTACCATCCATACATCTTGTCACAGGCAGCGACATGTTACAACAGCCATGAGGGACAGAACTGAGCCTTTTCATCCACACCACTGTGGGCAGCTGCCCTCCAGCATTTCGAAGGGAACCTCATGTGCCTTTGAATTTGTGTGTGTGTGTATGTGTCTCTCGCCTTACAGCATTAGAGAGGCTGGGATGTTTTAGTGACAGACCAGCTACTGCATGAGTTCAGTAAAAGCTTGTCTGACTCCTGACCCATCTCTTGCTTTGCTTTAGGAAAAGCTGGGATCTGAAAGCCCCACTCTGTGGATAGGATGGGATGGGACTGTGCCACTCAGAAGACAAAGACCCTAGGGCTTGACCCCCACTTTGAGTGCTACTGACAGAGCCCCATATTCTATCATGTGGGCATCAGACACTGCTGCCATCCTCCCCAGAGAAGCCATGAAGTGTACATACCAGGAAGGACATGCCATTAATTACTCACCACCTCCCTTAAAGCAACCCTTAGAGCTAGGAAGGACCTCAGTCACCTCTCACACAGAAATTATGAAACTTGCCCGGTACTATCAGCTAATCAGTGGAAAGGTAGAATTAAAACTCAGTGCTCTCTTCTGGCTGGGCAAGACCATGACTTTTTTTTTTTCTGGTACTGGGGTTTAAACTCAGGGCCTACACCTTGAGCCACTCCACCAACCCTTTTTGTGATTGGTATTTTCAAGACAGGGTCTTGTGAACTATTTGCCTGGGCTGACTTAGAACAGTGATCCTCCTGATGTCTACCTCCTGAGTAGCTAAGATTACAGGCGTGAACCACCAATGCCTGGCTAGACCATGACTCTTGACACATGTGTAGTTGCTGTTAGTACTGCTCACATCATGACTAGTGACAGTGGTTAGCACTGTTCAGTCCAAGGGTGGTTACAGGATTGAAGTTATAAAGTGGAAGCCCATAACATTAGTGGCTGTTAACAATGGCAAATGGGCTGGAGGTGTGGCTGAAGCAGTAGAGTACCTGCTTTGCAAGGGCAAAGCCCTGAGTTCAAACCCCAGATGTCACCAAAAAACAAAAGAAAAGAACAAAACAACAACAAAATGAGAGCTACCTCTAGAGAACGAGGTATCTGACCACTGCTGGTCTGAATCAAAGTTAAGTAAAATGGAAGACAGGTAAAGAAAGCAAATATATTAGTTGAAGAAATTATTTTGAGGGCCAAGTGAGTTTAACTAGTTTAGTGCAATTTGCTAGGCAGGAACTCTACCACTTGAGCCACTCCTCCAGCCCAAAGTTTAGTGCAATTTGTACAGTGGTTTTTTTTTGGGTCACTAGATTTTAATTTGCAGCTCCTAACCCTTCCTTAGCACTCTGAACTCACACTGCCAGTCTTCCCTTTGAATCCCAGTCAGCAGAAAGCTCACCAGGGGGTGGATACTCTTGTGTTGTTCCTAAACAGTGGCTGGAGCCAGAAGAGGACTTTCCAGGGGCCTTTAGAGAACTTCCAGGAGGTCAGGCGACTGAGACTGTGCATCTGTGACCTGACATATCACCAAGTCTAGGCCCAGAGCACAGGGGTTCAGGCAGCTGCTTGCTATGCTGAATGATGATACCTATTATCTGACTGCTGTCAATACTGTTTCTACAAAATTGTGGAATTTAAATTTACCTAGAGGGTAAGCTGTTAAAGAAGCTTATTCTGGCCAGGTATGGTGGCTCACATCTGTAATCCTGGCTACTGGGAAGGTGGAGAGAGGGCGGATGACTACTCAAGGCCAGCCCAGTCAAATAGATCATGAGATCCCACCTTGACCAATAAAAACTAGCATGGTGGCATGTGCCTGTCATCCCAGCTCCATGGGAAGCATAGACAGGATTGCAGTCTACATAAGCCCATGTCAAAACACAAGACCCTATTCAAAAATTACCTAAAGAAGACTGGCAGAGTGGCTCAAGTAGTAGAGCACCTGCCTAGCAAGCATGAGGTCCTGAGTTTAAACTCCAGTCCTGCCAAAGGAAAAACAAACAAAACAACTAAAGGACTGGGGGAGTGACTAAAGTGACAGCTCCTTTCTAGCAAGAGCAAGACCCTGAGTTCCTCAGTAGTACTGCCAAAAAAAAAAAAAAAAAGTTTATTCACATGTCAAGAGTTTTTAAATTTTGTTTTTAATGCTTATTGGTACTCCTGCATTAGAATTAGCTATAAATGTAAAAGTTTCCACTTTAAACGCACATTTTACCTCATTTTATTATAAGGAATTGTTACAGAAAATGCAAGTATCAGTATTTGAAAAATACATTCCATTACATGGACTCAAAAGAAACAATGTTGATAAGCGCCATGGTCCTATATGATACTGTCATCTCACACTGACACCCTGAATGGCCTGGAAGCCAAGGTGACCAGCTCAAGTGTGTACCTGCAGTTTCTGCTCAGCTCCTGCCTTATCCGTGGTACCACAGGAATGTCAAGGAACAGCCAGCTCCACGCATCTGCCCAACAGGCAAGCCAGTAAATACAACAGTTTCAACTCAAGACTGTCTAGCTAGAGGAAACCAATGTTGTCAGATGTAACAGGTTAATAGATTTATGCTACACACAAAAAAAGGAAACTGTACAGGCAATGATCCTCCGTAGAAAGTCTTTAAGGCATCTATAACTTCTGGGAATTGTGTTTAATTTATATTTGGTCAACTCAGATCTTCACTAAATCTCTTTCACAAAAACAGTGTGGCTTCCAGATGCCTTTGGTGAGGTGCTTCCTCTTTGTTGCTCCTCTCCCCAACTGGGAAGAGTAGCTCTGGTGCTTCAAGTGGTTCTCCTGGGCTTGTCCTGAAGGAAGCCAGTGTGCCTGTGATGGAGGCATATGTTTACTTGTGCACGCTGCTATCATTCCCTCTCATGTCTAAGCATTATGTAGTTCTGCCATGTTCTTTTTCTCTAGGTAAAGGAAAACTAGATGGAGGCCAGGTGCTCCCTTCCCTTCCCAAGCCTGACGGCTACCCCTTGCCTGCAGAAAAGACTAGTGCAGGAATGATTCGTTCTGACAGAAGGGACACAAATTGGGAAGAGTGGTGAGACCTCAAGCACCCAGCTCCACACAGGAACCCATCTGGGGGCAGAGGGAGGAATATGAGAGGAGTGGTCAAAAATAACTCAGGGCTCTGAGGTAGAGGATGAAAGGTCATGTGGACCCCACTCCTTGGAGAGAATGTGGCAGGTGAAGTGAGCAATCTAATCCAGCCTCAACTAAATTAGTAATTGGGGTTGACAGTGCACAGGCACAAAACTCCAAATGGAACACGTGTTCTAATACATTAGTCAGTGAGACACCACTGAAAAAGACTACTGAAAATGAGAGTCCTATGTGTAGGCACTTAAGTTTGTGAGACATTTCTGTGTTAGAGGATCACAGCAAATTAGTTTAAGCCATTCTTTTTATACATAGCAGAAGGTCTGTATCTCTGTCTTAAAAAACAAGAAAACTTAAAAATATACTATATTAAGTCTGGCGCTGAGCAAGAGGCAGTTAAAAAGCTAATCCAGCATGACAATATTGACTGATGCAGCAAGTTATGTTCCAGTAAAGTTTATTCTTCCTGCTCCTCTATGCATTCATAATTGGCAACTTTTTGAATGAATAAAATTAGATTTTTCTACTAATTCTCAAGCTAATGATTAAAGTTTAACAATGGCTAGAAGTTATGTCAGCATGGACAGCATAGAAGGGATGCGGCGTACCTGGTCCCGGCCAGGGCAGTGTAGGGTGAAGTCCCCTGAAGGAGTCTACTGAGGACAGCCCAGTAAGCAGAGTGGCCAGAGAGATCTCTAAGACTCCAGAAAGATGCTTGTTCTAGATCTACACGAATGCACCAATGCAGAACTCAAAAAATGCCCCCCAATCCATGGCTGGTCAGTACCATTGCTATTTCTGGATTCTGAAGAAACAGGTTGAATTGACATATTTAAAACATGATATTATGATTTTAAGTGCAATTACAGGCAAGACTGTTATTGAAAATGGCGTGGTAGGGCAAGAGCTAACAATCTGCCTCACTCCTGTCTGATTTTCTATCCTCTTTCCACTATAAACATTAAAAGAGTAAGTATATGTGGACCAATCACCTCACTTCATATCTGAAACATAACTATCTTACTTTCTAATTAACGAATTAAGCTACCTAATTAAGCCCTACATCCTTCTTGTGTTCCTTTTTAGGCAACAGGAAATGGAAATTGACCACATGCTTCACAGGTCATTTGCCAAGACAGGTTGAGCTTTTCTATAAAACTTCTATATAAAGTATGTCACAGACTGGGGGACAGTGACATTTTTTTTTCTTTTTTTTCTTTTTGAACATTGTGCACAAACTCATATTAACTTAGAAAGCACATACATGTTTTAAATCAGATTTTAAAAAAACACTCTGGTTCATCAGCATATTTTACACAAAGTGAGACAACAGAACATATGAATCTACAGCAACATAGAAGACACACCATAATCTCCAAAACAGAAACGAACAAAGCAGACTGTTGCAAAAAAATTTAGTCCCTTTTATACATACATCCATACTACATTACTTCATTAATGCAAAATATGTAGTGGTTATTAAATGTCGGAAAAAATCAGCATGTAGGATTAAGACCATTAATCTCTGAGTATAACTGTACAGCAGGTACTGGCTATCTCAGAGTTATTTTTTAAAAAAGCAGTGGTAGAAGGTTCTCTTTCAATGTGCATTTTCAAAACTGGCCAAACCTTCATAAGAAGAGAAGTTTAACACCTCAGGGTTAATGGATGTATTAACAGTGACTAAGGCCCAGCTAATTCTGGAGGCCTTACTCAGCATTCAAGCTGAAGCCTTCCAAAACAGGTTGCTCACACTTGGCCAGGGCCTTCAGCTCTTGGCTATTAAGGGGAAAGGCAAGTTATGAGAAGGGGGACCACAGTATACCAGGGAAGGATTCAGCAAGAAGCATTCTTGTCATATAGATAGGACCTCATGGCTTGAGGGTAGAGGTAGCCCTGGGGCTTAAGTCTTGTTCATCTCCTTTCTTAGAGTTGGCCTGAATGAATTTCTTGCTCCAAGAGACACTGCAGAAGTTTTTCCTTTAAAATTAGTGTGGGCTAAGGTCTAGTCAAAACTGGACATTAGAATCACTGATGCAAGGATGTGTAAGGGTATTTTTGAACATGGAGTTTTAAATTGGAATCACCAATAATGCAGCTATAGAAAAAGTGCAGCACAGTAAAAGTGCATTTCCTCTACCACTCTCTAGTGGCAGTGACTTGAGGACTCCACAGACAGGACGCAGCAAGACGAGAGAATGAGACAGATGCTAAGTGTCAAGCTGCCACACTGTACCCTTGACACCTCAGCAGCACGAACACTGGTAAAGCTTTCAGTTGTTAAGGCCACGATTTTTCAGCTCTCATCTTTGAACCCTGTTAGAAAGATTTTACCTTTTTAAAAGGGGTAGCTCACTAAAAATATAGCTTAGCTTTTTAAAAAAAAAAAAAGAAAGAAAGGAAGGAAGGAAGGAAAGACTTCAGGGCAAGAAGATCCTATTATCTTTATGAAAACACTGTGCAGAAAAGTCCACAGCCACTTACCCTACGGTAAAGCCAGCTCTCATCCACAGCTGCTTCCTATTCTGTCAGGCTCTGCCTCATAAGTCAGCCCAGGCAGGAAGACTTCGTGAATGCTCTGAGATGGACACTAAGCTACTGGAAAGGAAAATGTTCTTCAAGTGTCCTTGTATGTTGCTAGCAGATTCCTATCATATTTACCACATAGGCTAAAATGGCCTAGTCCAGTTAGTGAGACATCTAGTAACCTCGATTACAGTCTGACACACTGAAAGTCACACAGAATGATCTGAAATGGGATTCACACACATGGTCCATAATTGTTCCAGTCTCCTGCTGCAGGAAGATGACTGCCAGCTCCTGCTCTGAGTCGGGGGCAGGCTGGTGAGCAGAGCAGCTGCTGGGGAGGTGACTGGGGATGTGGCCTGGACCCTGATAGGGGCTCACTAAGAGACCCCACCCAGAGTCAGGACATCAAAGCAAATGTTGCAAACTCGCACAGGCTTGTTCAGATCAAACTTTATAATAGGGATCTCCTTGGTCGAACATTTATGGCAAAGAAGACGTCCGCAGTGACGACTGTGGAGGCAAAGAAAGGAAGTATGAGACAGTAGTAAAGAGTATGACTTGTGCTCTGTGGCCAGTTCTGCCAACTGCCTGCCAAGTCATACCAGTTCATAGATAATTTTAGTCCACAGAAACAAAATTTTAGCCACAAACTAAGCTAACGTAATACTGAAGAAGACAAACGCAGTTGCCTTGCTTTCCTGGGAAGAGTCCCCTGGTTCTCAGTAAGGCAGCCTCTTCTCAGGCCTGTTGTGAGGCTTTAGCTCACCTCAGCTTTTCTGCAAGCCCAGAAACAATAACACAGGCCTGACAGACTACTGGGACCTGTGTGTCCTTGGCATCCATCAGGAAAGCCACCAGTATGAGCGCTCCCTGCCTTTCCTACTTGGTCCTATCATCACATTTTCTCAGTCAACTTTGGCCCAGGAGATTGCAGGGCCCTAGTAAGTTAGTCACTTATTATGGAAAAGGGTAGAAATGACATCAGCAGAGGTTCCCTCATTCCTCTACAAGTAGTGACAGGGGTCTTACCAGTGGTGTTTTCGAGTTGTGACTCCAAACTTGGCAGTGCACTCGTAGCAGTTGGAGCCATCACACCACGGAGGCTCCTTGGACAGCATGTCTGTAACACACATAGGAGAAGATTAGTTCCTAACAAACAGTGACTATACTGGCCAAGACTTAGGGCTAAGGGAACAGGGAAGCAGACTAGTAAATAAAGCCCCATGTTGCAGCAGGACATAAGTGAAGGAAGGTCAGGAAAAGCTTCCTGAGGAGACTGGAGAACAGTGCTCACTAGGCAGACTGGGGGAGGAGGTGCTAGAGGAAGTGGTGAGCCAGCTGCAAGTGGGAAATAGTGCGATCAGGGCCAGATAGAGTGTAAAGGATGGTAGAGAGAAGGCAGAGACCACACAGCCAGAAAGACTGGCAGGGGCCAAGTGGTTGGGACGTGACAGAGGAGACCAAGACAAGAGAAACTGAGGAGGCAGAATTTGTGAGATTTGGGGACTAAACAGGAGTGTAGAGTTTGACAGGGAGACAGGAACAGGAAGGGGAGAAGGAGAGTTCCAGGTTTCTGGGGAAACAACCCACAGAGAGGAGACCTAGAGAAAGAACTAGAGCAGATGAGTTCCGTCTTCACTAGGCGTCTAGGATTAGGAATCAACAGTGTAGATGACAACAACAATCATTAGTATTTATGTATTAGGCCCTAACTACAGGCCAGGCCCCGTGCTTCTGCTCTGTGAAGAGTAACAGAGCTCACAGGAAGGGAGCCTGTGTGTCAGTCACACTGACCCCGCCTAACACCAGCACTGTGATAGACACCTGCTCTGAGCTCTTAAAAGGTCAACTATGTGCATGGCATAGGGAAAATTAAAGTAGATGAAGTATCACAAGCACTATGCATTTTAAGTTTTAAAAACCAGCACAATAATTGTACATATTTATGGTATACTACAATATACACAAGTATATTGATTATTAAATCAGGGTAACTGACATTCTCTGTCATTGTAACTCATCATTTCTGCCGGGCACCAGTGCCTCATACCTGTAATCCCAGATACTCAGGAAGCAGAGATGAGATGGACTGATGTTTGAAGTCAGCTCTAGGCAAGACCCTATCTTGAAAATATCCAACATAAAAAAGGGATGGCAGAGTGGATGAAGTGGTAACAGATCCTGCTTAGCAAGCGTGTGGTCCTAAGTTCAAGCCAAAAAAACCCAAACCAAACCAACCAAACAAACAAAAAAAACTTACCATTTCTTCGTGTTGGAAACCTTTGAATTTCCTCTAGTTCTTTATGAAACATACAATAAATTGTAGACTACAGTCACTCTACTGTGCTATAGAACACTAGAACTTATTCCTCCCACCTAACTGTATTTTGGCACCCATTATCCAACTTCCCTCTATCCCAACTCCTTCCATTCCTAACATCCAGTGACCATGGCCTCTAGTCTTTCTCTCTCTCTCTCTCGGAAACAGGTTGTCATCATGTAGCACAGGCTGGCCTCAAACTCTCACCCATCCTGCCTCAGCCTCCTGGGTTACTGGGATTACAGTTATGCACCACCACACTCAGATTGGGGCATTCTGATTCCTACTACCACTTCAACAAAAAAGAAATCAAGAGTGAAACACCCCTTCTCCACTAAAGAAACACAGACAAAGAAGAGTCAGTAGAGGCTTAAGCTTAAGGTCATTTTGAAGTCTGTAGGGACTTTGAATCAGCCAAAGGAGGACAGATGTGCAGACAGCCAGCCAGAAGACATGGTCAGGGTGACATGCTTATAGCTTATGGGTTTCTCACAGGTTTAGACAAAGTGGGAAACTGATGGGGGCCCCAAAGCAAAGCAGTCTGAAAAGACGCTAACAACAATGACCCTCCTCAACATTATTCAAGGGCTCTTCATCCCATTCATAAAAACAGGCCTATAAGATGCCTAGAAATGGCTGGTTCAGATCTTACAGTAAGTCATTATGAGATTCAAAGATCATCAGTACATATAGATAATCAACATTGTAACTATGCTCACATAGAAAAGGAAAAAGTAGGCCACTCACCTAATAATCTAAACAGAAGTTGCTTGGTGGCAACCTGGTAGTTGAAAATGTTGACTCCTTGGTTATTATTTACCCCAAGGCGAGCCCCAGACCGGACAATGGCACGGCACAGGTTGGCATTCCCTTTCATGTATGCTAAGAGCAACACTGGAAAACAAAACCACAGGTAGGACCTCTTTCCATCTGGCCTGGCCTTGCCAAAGGGTGGCAGAGGACAGCTGAGGGCAGAATAGCCCATGGGCAGGACATCTGTTAGGAAAGTCTCATGGACACACGGAGGCCTTAGGGCCTAGCAACTTCCACAGAGGATCTGCAGCATCTTCCAAAAAAAGTCCAACCAGAAGCCAGGAGATCCTACAGCAGCTAGAGTTTCAGAGACACACTCTTCCCCACCTTGAGCTTGGGTGAAAAAGAAATGAAGTAGGGATCCAACACTGAAGGAAAAACATACTGTTGTCTAAGTTGCTTTCCTCTGACAGGAAACACTGCCTTCACCACATAGTATAAAGCTTTTTTCACACAGTGTAATTAAATGTAAAGACCTGCTACTTTAGTACATATGGAGAAAAAAAAAAAAAAGGTCAGCATTGGGAACATGTTCCAGAAAGTTCTTATATCTAATGGAGCCTCTATTTCGTGCAAGTCCAGGCTCAGTGGGAACCCAGACTCTGAGCCAGGTTCCTATCCTTTTGGTCTCTATAAACAATTACATCTAGCAGTGGCTCCCCTTTGCTTACTCCTACAAGACAGTTTATTTAAATTCTTAACCTTCAACATGAGTCAATGAGGGCTATCACATTCCTATTATGAAAAACGAAGCTGTAGAGAGGTTAGAAATTTTACTCAGTCAAACTGCTAAAATATGACAGAGCAAGGCATATGAAACCAAGTCTGTAAATCAGAAACCTGGACACAAAGCATGATGCCCCTCCCTGCCTGCCTCTTAAATACACCTGGAGCAATGGTGCTCCCTGAGTAGATGCTGGGTTCATCAGCTCATGCCTAACTCCTGAAGCTCAAAACACATGTCCACTGGGCTGGGGATGCAGCTAAGGGGCTGAACACTTGCCTAGCATTTGTGGGATCAATCCCAAGTACTGCAAACAAAACAAAACAAAAACAAAAAATGTTCATGATCAAATCCAATTAACTTCCTAAGGCCAAGAACTGGTAGCAAAATATTGAGTCCCCAGCTAAGGTTAAGCATACTAACAGGGTGACTACATTTCTGCCAAAGGCCATATCTGACATGAGAGTGAATAAATGAGGATATAGCAGCAACAAAAATTCTCCGTCCCAGCCAGGATGAAAAAGATCTGTTTTTATCCTTACTTAAAAAATAGGGATACAACCATGTGCACTGCTTTCCTCACAAGGTTGTTCTGAGTATTCAATAAGAAAATGAATGCAGGACTGGAGGTGTGGCTCAAATGGTAGAGCGCCTGATCTGCAGGTGCAAAGCCCTGAGTTCAAACACCAATCCCACAAAAAAAAGAGAAAATAAATGTAAAAGTACGTCAAAAGAGCTATGAGGTGCCAGGCATTGGTGGCTCAGCCTGTAATCCTAACTACTCAGGAAGCAGAGATCAAGAGGTTTGTGGTTTGAAGCCAGGCCGGGTAAATAGTTTGTGAGACCCTATCTCAAAAAAACTCAACACAAAAAAACGGTTGGCAGAGTGGCTCAAGTGGTAGAGCACCTGCCCAGCAAGCGTGAGATCCTAACTCCAAACCCCAGGAAAAAAAATTTAAAAAGCGCTATGGAAGCTACACAAATGAACACAGTAAAACTGTAAGTAGCTACAGCAGACCACAAGACAGGCCTGTTTATTCCTTAGTAAGAAGGTGCTATATGTAATTTGCCACATGTTCAAAGCATGTCAACACATACTATAGTAATTTCCTCCTAAAGCTTCTAGGAGGTGTTTATAGCTCATCTTTCTGCTGATATTGGAAATCGGGAAAGGCCCTCATTAACTGGATAACTAGGCAATAAAAATGCATGGGCAAATCTGTTTGACACGGGTAAGGTTCTGGAGTATTAGAAGTACTTTAGATGTCAGATACCCAAATTTCCCATGACAGAGATTTGGGACAGAAACTGATTCAGTCTAGCTGAAATGCACTAAGCCAAATGCTCAAATAATGACACGTGTGCCTGGGTTCTTATTTCTCCAAGAAGCAAGGTGCACAAACGAGATAAGACATACAGACATCTCATTACCTACCCGTGTTTCCTTCTGCATCTGGCTTATCCAAAGGATACTCAGGCATGCACTCTAAGAAGAGATCAAAGATGGCTGCTGCATTCTCTTTGCCATACTGTCCCAAAATGTGCAGTGGTGACTGGCCTCTGATATAACAAATTGGAAAATTTAGGTATACATCTGACATGGCAATCATATACAAAAGACACAGAATTTTTTGAACTCTGTAATACTGGGTAAACCTAAACAACATACAACAATTCGTGAAGTTTTTCTAAAAAGTTTTTTTTTTTTTTATAAAACCAAAAATACCAGGGAACCAAAAGCTGAGCAAGTATCCACATGGCCAATTCTTCAGTGTGCACCTGGGGCTATGGGAGACATCAGTGACCACCAGCTCTGAGGAGCAAGCCAGGTGATGTGCAGCCCTGGTTTCTGCTTGGGACCAGACACACTCACCTCTGATTAAAGGCTTCAGCATCCACTGTGCACTCTGTCAGAAGAACACGGATGTTGTTGAGCCGACCATGCATGACAGCGAGATGAAGAGCTGGGGAGTAAATCCTCTTATTGTGCAAGCCCAGAGCACATGCAGATAACTCTCAGCTCCTCCCCATCCTCACAAACCCCCTCTAAGTGGGAGCCAGCCAGAGCAGAGACTGGCCATGCCACTGTCTTCTCAACACCCCAGGATAAGTCATAAATACAGTCTCATTGCCTGCTTTCTGTGTCAGCAGTTCCACAGATGAGATTTAACGGTTTCACAAGAAGCCATTTTACACTCTCAGGGTTACTGCCCTACCCAGAGCATTTCCTGTCACAGCTCTGCTCCTGTACATGGCAACCTCCCAGACCCAAGGGTGCAATGCATTTCTGCTCCTAGAAAGGAAGGACTGCTAAGGCACACAACACTGTTCATAGGCCAACAGCTGAGAATTACCATTATTTCCATTCTCATCCACAGCAGCAAAGTCCACCTCATTCTCCAGCAGGACTGAGCAGATGGTAGGCAGGTCCTGCTGGGCAGCAAGATGGAGGGCAGTCTGGCGGTGCTTGGTTAACTCATTTACCTTGGCTCCTGCAAGAAGCTGTTGAAGTTGATTACTTGAGCAGCCTCTCTCCTATAATCAAGGTCCACTTAAGGGGCCACGCCTGCCTGTCTTCTGACACTCATGGAGACTGATAATCTGCCTGCAGGCAAAGCTGGGCACATGAGCACCTCATACATAGTCCTGGTGAGGCAAACCCAGCAAAATTAGTGCCGAGGGCAAATTACCTACTAACATATTGTAGCTATTCCTCGGAACACAGGAATTCTACTTCTAAGGGTTCAGTATATATAAACCACACAGTACTGTAGTGGTGTTCACTATACTATATACGGTGTCCACTGCTTATAATAGTAAAAACCTAGTGGCAAAAAGTCTACACTTATAAAAATTATACTATGTACAAATTAATAAAATAAGTTAGCTAATAAAGTGGTAAATGTATATGGGTTAACATGGAAAGATGACAACAATATAGTAATTAAAAGAAAAAAAAAAAAAGCCCCTTTCACCATCCTGTGTAGGTAAAGGCCTGCTGAGAACTGATCTGTAAAAAGCAAGTATGTCTGAAAGGCTGTGGCACAAGGGCATTTTTGCTGGCTATAAGTGGGGTGTCCAGAACCAAATGGAGCACCTGTTTTTTGTTAAAACTGAAGGTGTTTATGCTAGAAGTAAACCTGAATTCTAGTCAGGTGTAATGGCTCACACTTGTAATCCCAGCTACTTAGAAGACAGACATTGGAGGATTGCGGTTCCAGGCCAAGCGGGACAATAAATAAGACAGACCCTATCTTAATCACAGTGATAGTGCATGCCTGTCACCCAGTAATGGGGAGTCTTAGGCAGGTGACGGTGATCTGAGGCTGGCCCTGAACAAAAATTCAACACCCCACCTGAAAAAATAGCTAAAACAAAAGTGCTGGGGGCATGGCTCAAGTAAGAGTTCTTTCCAATAAAAACAAGGCCCTGAGTTCAAATCCCAGTCCTAAAAAAATAAAAATAAAAAACTAAGGACATAAGGGTATAAAGCAGAGTATCTTTCTTCCTAACTTGCCTCTGAATTTGGCATGATTATAAGTTTTCTTGATGAGCAAGACTATTTTAATTTTTCTTAGGGGGACGGGCAGGACTGGGTTTGAACTCAGGGCTTTGCCCTAGGCTAGGCAGAGACTCTATCACTGGAGCCATGCCTCCGGCCCTTAGTATTTTATTTTTTTAAAAGAGCAAGCACAACGAATCGTAGAACCAAAGGCAAGAAGGACTTTGAAGTAGTACCTTGTCTATTCACTTAGTATTTGAAATCTATTCATCATCTGCTTACCAACAAAAGTTTCAAAAAACAGTTGCTCTTAACAGAAAATACTACGTGGTTTGCAGTTCTCTCCTGAGGTCTGTGGCCACCCCTGGTCCTTTACCTGTGAGTTCTGGTACCTACTTCTGAGAGAATCTATGTACTGGTCAGCTGCTCTGACTGTGTTCCTGAGTTCAAGCCCCCCATACCTCTGGGAACCCAATCAAATCACCTATAGATATGAAATTCTCCACATAGGACATTTATAGAGGGATATTCATGGTCACCAGTGCTGTGCTAGAGATCAAAGCAGGTTAAGTGGGGAGAGGGAGTTAGATGGGTATCACATTGCTTTAATATGAGCTGGCTCAAATATCATGCTACACCAAAATTCAGAGAGGAAGAGCACATGGACATTTAGAGGTTACCTGTTACTAGACATCCCTATCACCTGTAAGGTCAGGCCTTAGGAAGGCAGGAAAATGACCTTGGTGAAGCACCTCCAACTTCCTATTCTCAGCCTCTCAGGTGGCAGTAGACTGATGAACACAAGGCCTGATTCCCTACTCTTCAGAGCCCACCTCTGCCTCTTGCCTGCATGCAGTCAGTCTGTGCCTGGTACCATCAGATCCACCTCCTCTGTCACACTCTTGTCCATCCCTCACTACCACTGCTTCCCCTAGGTCTCTTCACTAGTGAATCTTCCTTTGTATCACCCCTAGGTGACTTCTTTAAAGGCTCTCTCAGCTCAAGTACGTATCAAGTCATGAAGATTTGATATGTATTTTTAAAAGCTGGGCATGGTATAGTTGATGCTTATAATCCCAGCTCTTAGAAGACTAAAGCAGGAACATTCCAAGATTGAGGACAATCTGAGCTATATAGTGAGACTCTGTCTCAAAAAAAAAAATGTTTTGTTTTGTTTGTGGGACTAGGGTTTTAATTTGGGCTCCATGATGGCAAAGCAGGTGCTCTACTGCCTGAGTCAGACCTCCAGTCCATTTTGCTCTGGTTATTTTGGAAATGGAGTCTCATAAACTATTTGCCCAGGCTGGCCTCAAACCTCAATTCTCCCAAACTCAGTCTCGCAAGTAGCTAGGATTACAGGCATGAACTGCTGGTGCCTGGCTGGTTTTTTTTTTAACCAAGAAACAACAGTATACCAGGGCATCAAAGGCTGGCCAAGCACGTAGGTGGTTAGTTCCACAGCATGTTCCTGGGACTGATGGGGGTCACTAATGACAATTAGCCATGTGACATAGAGATGTGTCTTGGTTCTAGACTATGTTCCCTCAACTCCAAGGCTATAGCGGTTTCTCCACTGCTTGCGTGATACAGACTGCTCACAGTTCTTAGTTTGGAATTTGATACCCACAACCTGGTCTTCGTCTGATCTCTAACCATATTTCCTTCAACTCTGCTCAAATTTCAACCAAACCTCCTACATAAAATATACCTAATTCACTGTCTCCAGCCTCTACAACTCTGTACATACCTTTCCCCTGCCTGGCATTACGCTGTGTCAAAAAAGGCAGACTTTCGATTCAAACCAGAATGACTAAAATACTAGCTACACTATTACCTGATAGCCTTGGAGGATTCTTTCAAACCTAAACTTTATCCTTTGTGAAATGTGAAAATCTTCCTACATCTCTCTGGGATTTTGAGAATTAAGAAAGTTAAGAGAAGGATGGGGTGTGGCTCAAGAGGTAGAGCACCTGCCTAGAAAGCATAAGGCCCTGAGTTCAAACTCCAGTAACCCCCTACAAACAAAACAAAATGGAAACATAAGAGAAACAGATCACTTGAAAGTCTCATTTGAGGATGAGGGCAATTTGGCTGTGGTATCTGTCACCCCATTGATGACCAGGGTTGAAAGTCTCAGTTTGAGTGCCTGACAGACACCAGTCAGACAACCTAAATGACCTCCACTCCCTTTCTGGTCCTACTCTGCTTCTGCTACACAATCCTACTGTCCTTCAAGGGCCCCCACTTCAGCATCTCTGGCACATCCCTTCTGGATATCTCTGTGGCATAACTGTTTTCTTGAGTATACTGGCACAGCTCCTCAAATTCATGCTGCCTTTCACAACGCATGGCAAAACACCTGAGAAGAAACTGCACATACTCCTCAACATGTTACATACATCAGCATTTCTGTCACTTACCAAATTGCGGACAATGATCTCTGAGCCTGCTTGAACAGCAAGGTGCAAAGGGGTCAACTTGGAAGCATCCTGGACTCTGGAGTTGACGTTTGCCTGGACGCTAATAAGGAACAGGACGCTTTCAATGTCAGAGTTCTGAACTGCCACGTGAAGAAAATTCCGACCTTTGTTATCCACCTAGGCAATAAATGGCAACCAAAATATTAGTAGGCCCACCTCCCCCACTTTTTTTTTTTTTTTTTGGTGGTACTGGGACTTGAATTCAGAGCCGTGTGCTTTAGGTAAGCACACTACACTTGAGTCACACCCCTAGTCCTAGGCTCCCTTTTAAGAGTGCCTCTTGAGCATCTGCAAGCTGCACTAATCACTGGAGCAGTCATGATGCAGTATTTCCCTCAGTTCCAGGAAGTTCCTTCCCAAAGACCAATACTGAATGCCTTCCATCCTCCCCCAACAGAACCAGGCACACATACCCCATTGTGGTCAGGGGAAGGAGTCACTGCACTGGCCCAAGATGCCCTGGCACCTTCTACAGCAGCAACTAGACATGGAAAACTGAAGAAGAGATAAGCTGAAGGATAGGGAAAGGGAGGGACCAAAATATTGGGCTGCTCGGGGAGAGGCAAAGGTGGACCCGAGCTTTGGATGTGGCTAAACCAAACTTAAACCCTGAGTAGTCAAGCAAAGGCTTCATAAATTTTTGGGATGTTTCCTCCATTACCGGAGGGATACTACACAATGAGGGAGGCGGCCAGCAGCAGGTCCAGACTTTGTTCCACTGATGTAAAACAGATAGATGTTAACTCAAATCCACTTACATGTGGTGTAGTTACAGGAGCCATCCTTAGTGTGAGTACTCAGGTGAAGTGAGAGGATACCACATACTGTACACCCTGCATTACCAACTCTCACTCCTCTCCACCACCAAACACACACGGCATGATGGAACAATCAGTGAGTGTGCAAGGGACTGAGATCAACAGTACTAATTTCATAGTAGGTGCTGAAGAAATGGGAGATGACAATCTCCATTCATGAACATCTTACACTACCTGAGGTCATCTTACACTATCACAGGTGAGGTCAACACCCACATAATCCAGTCACACTTATGAAAAATGTTGAAAAGAAAGGTGAAACACACAAGTTTGCAATAATCTTCAACCATGTTAGGACTGCATTTCATTCAGGACCATATCTCCATTTCACCTTCATAAATGGCTACCTATAAATCTTGGCAGTATTCTACACACTGGCTAGAGTCAGGTTTCTGTGGGACCAGCCTGACAAACCTAACCCGGTAGCTCCTGCCTCTGACCAGTCATGACTCTCATTTCCCATCTGCACTGTTTAGATCAACAAGCCACCATCTGGATTTAGTAGATGATAAAGAACAGTAAAGATCAAGGACAACTGAGCCTAAGTTGAGTAACAACCTAAAGTTTCTAAAATGTTCATAAAGTTGTCCAACATCACAATGTAGCTCAAGTTCAACTGAGATCTTTTTAAGACATTCATTACCAGGGCAGTTAAATAACCAGCAAAAGCAGAGAATGAGCTCAGTTGTGCATAGCACAGATCTCTTATCACCAACCCAGCAAGTGCCCCTCTCAACCTAAGTGCACGTCACTAGGTGGGTGACACACAGGGCAGAACCCATCCACATCTCATCTGAATGTCACATTTTTAGAAAAGGGAGCATAATTTCAAGTAACTGTCATTGTGCAGATAAGACCTGTTTAGTTTACGACATCTGTTACATCTCCATGTGGAGATGGTTGGATGCTGGTCACTCACCTGCTCAGCAGCTCCAGACTCTCGCTTTAGAATGGCCTCAGCTGCCTTGTTGTTCTTGTAAGTCATGGCACAGGCAAATGGGGTCAGCCCTTGTCTGTCTCGCTCATTTAAGTGGATATTAGGGTGAGAAATCAACAACTGAATGATGACACTGTGTTGGTTGCTGATGGCCACATGGACAGGAGTTCTTCCTTCTGCATCCTGTGGGGACAAGGGACAAACTTCGACATCTATACAAAAGTAAAACTTAGGAAAAATATGAAGGACGGTAACTTTTTGGCAGTGCTGGGGTTGGAACTCAGGACCTCGTGCTTGGTAGGCAGGTGCTCTACCACGTGAGCCACATACCCCCAAGAAGATGACTTGTTTTCTTTTCCTTTCTTTTTTTTCAGTACGGAGGTTTGAACTCAGGCCATCGCACCTGCTAAGCAAGCGTTCTACTACGAGTCATACCTCCAGCCCTGGGAAATGACTTTTAAACCATATTTCAATTATGAGAAATAAATATTACGACCTGTGTTTGAAATCCGCAATTAAAGAGGCCAAACACAAAAATGACTAGAAGTCACTACTGCATCATGCTCAGCACAGATATATTTGTTTTAGAAGATCTATAGTTATTCCCAGCTCCAGTTTATCTGGCTACAGGTGATCAGATATAAATCTTCACAGATATGAATGTTGAAAAGCATAAAGGAACATAACTCAGAAGTGCTCAGTGGAGCTACTCAAATACTGTCCTAAAACACAATACTTATTTAGGATTAAACCAACTCTCAGTGGAAATCTGTAAGGGAGAGTAAAGACAAAGAACAAGAGATAAAATAAACAACGGGAAGAAAACTCTGAACTCAAAAATCAGCTCAGTTAATAAATAGGCTTGGAAAAAATCAATTCATTTGTCATACCAAAGCTCAGTGCATGGTAAAGCAGAGGCTTGAGACTGAACAATCTGTAAGGTCCCTTGTCACAAGAGATTTCCCTGTGTGTTACCAAGGACCTCTCGGGAAAAGAGAAACTACATACCTGTGCATTTACATTGGCACCAAACTCCAGAAGACACTGCACCGTCTCTTCCAGCCCCCACGAGGCTGCCAAATGCAAGGGGGTCTGCCCATCCCTAGCCTCTTCTTCTCCTTCTCCATCAGCACCTGGCTGTCTGGGACTATTCACATCACAGCCACTGAAAAGAACAGGGAAACAGAAGGAAGACCATGCTTCTACCTCACCTACAGACATGCTGTTGAACAGAAAGCAGCAACCTCACGAATCCAACAAAAAAGCTGCCACTGACCAGAGTCTCCCTCTCCTTAAGTCTCTGGTGTCCAATAAAGGGGTGGAATGGGGATGGGTGGGAAGCAGTTAAGGTAGTCTAGATCTCATTACTACAGATTCTTCCATAATTGGTCTTGGACACAACCTGGGCATCAGAATTGCTGCCAGTTCCCTAGGGGATATGCACATATTTAAAGTTTGATAAACACTGCCCTAAAGTTTTCCTGAATAGCCTTGTCTCTTCTTCCTCTCTCCTCCCCCCATACTCTGAGAGAGCCAAGGACTTTGCTATAGCTCACACATCTTGGTGGGGTTCACCTGAGGCCATCTGGTGGACTCTTCTCCAGCCTCCTCCTAACTTTACAGTGGGAACTGATTTGACCTGACTGCAGGAGCCCATGCAGCTCCTAAACCAGAAGCTGAATCAGCTTTTGGTCTTTGATCCAGGTACAGGAGTCCCGCCCCATCCTCCCAAGTGATCCTGGTCCTTGGCTCACGTGACATGACAGAATGATGTCCCTCCAATGATCTCAATATGAAAGTCAAGCCAGCTCTGGGCATGTCAATATTGAAGGCAGATTAATGTTAGAAAGAGCCAGTTTGCAATGAGCTAAATAAGAAGGTTTTAAGAGATACTTGGGCTTCTCAGACCTGCGAATAAGAAAACAGGCGGTGGACTCGTTGTTTTCATCAATGGCTCTGTGCAAGAGTGTCTGAAGGCACCCACAGGGGCCTGGACCCCAACATGTGGCATCACAACCATGTCTGACCTGTAGAAAAACACAGGTTTCTCACAAATATTGTCAAGCAAAAGTAAAAATTTTCATTACCAAGTCTGAGTATGTATATCACTAGATCCATTTCTAGATAAGATATGGTTGATAATTAACTGAAAATTACTTTAATATGTACCATTCATTAGTTTCACAAACACTGATTAAAATCTGTTGTTTTGTAAAAATCTTGTACTACATTCTGTGGAATGGATTTGGGAAATACAAATGTGTAATTAGTGCCTCTAGAACTATGTTCTAGAAGGGACAGTAAATACAAGTGCCTGCTTACATATGTACTCGTAAGCACCTAGCAACACATACCTGTAATTAATAGGTAATCTCAGTAGTAGTTGATAACCTCCAGGTGTAAAATGCCTCAATGTCACATGGCAGGCAATTACGAGAGCTTCAAATGGGAAATTCCAGGTTTACATCACTTTGGGACTCTCTTGCAAACAAAGAGAGACAAACCCGAGATTTGGTATTTATTACTAGTGTTGGTAAGGGCAGCCTGCTCCAGGAGAAGTCTCCTGAGGAAATGACTCCACTTTCTGGCTTTTCAACAGCTTTCAACAGAAAAGACAGCCTAAATGAAAGTGCTGGCCAGAATCACAATGAATCTCAGGTTTCCTTAACATGACTTTCAACTGCTTGTCCTTGACCCAATTTGTTACTTGCTCCTATGATTGCCACACAGGCACCAAATCCATCTCTGACACAAAATAGTCTTTGCTGTAAGCAGAGGTTAACACTATGTTTGTCTCACCAGAGTGGATGCGATGTCCTCCAGATTATTTGCCAATGCAAGCCACAGTGGGGGGTTCCCTTTCTCATCTGGCACGGACATGTCAGCTCCTCTGGTGCATATGGCATCTACTACGAGTGGAAGTTGATTTCTGATGGCCAGCTGAAGGGCTGTCTCCCCATCCTGAGTCCTGCTAGAACATGCACACCAAAACTAAAACCAATGTTTGCAGATGGAGCCAAAGGACAGAGGGTGCCTTTCTGGGCATTCCAGAGCCCAGACTATACTGTGTCCCTTAAATGCCCTTCACTAGAATTTCTTTAACAAAACTCATCTGTCAGCTGTGTCTGTCTCTTCAGCCTTTTTAGAAAACACAGTCATGCCACCCTATTGTACCCAGAAAACTAACACTCTACCCTGTTGATTCTGTAAGAATACAGCTGCATTGAAAAGCATCTTAATAAAATGCCAACAACAAAAAATGACACCTCGACTGCCCACTTGACAAAACACTTCTTTCCCTCTGCCATCCAGGGTCATTTGTCTGACAATGGAGATTCAGAAGAGTTCCTCTGAAAACAACCACAATAAAAATTGAACACTGTCTTTTTCCTCCATAGTCTTGTTTGTAATTCATTTGTTGGGATGTTCTTCATAACTAAAATTCCTATTTAAAAATTGATTTTGGATTGTGCTTTATAATGAGATTTGGTAATATTGTGCACACACTAGTTCTGAAAGATTCCAATAAAAGCAAAGTTTAGTTTCCCTTCTTCATCATACAAGTCTACTGATTATATTCAGTTACAACTCTGCATCTGTACTTTCTTTTTATGGAGGTGGGGGGTCAAACCCAGGGTCTTCTGTATGCTAGGCAAGCGTTACCACTGAGCCACACTCCCAACCTTCCATTTGTATTTTTTTTTATAGCTATTGTTTCCCCTCTCCTATTTAATAATGAATAAAAACATTTTCTATAAGAAAAGCTATGTTTTTGAGCCATCTCAGTTAAATATGACGTGGTGTTACAGAGGACAGCATCGCCTTATCTCACCTGACATTTATGTCTGCCTGATGCTCCAGGAGAAAGAGAGCACTCTTGCTATCCTGACGCTGTATGGCCATGTGTAGCAAGGTCTGCCCATCTGACATGGTGTCATTGATGGAAGCCCCGGAGCCCAGCAGCTGGGCTGCAATCGTGTGCATTCCTGTGAAATAAACAAGCCCTGATTAATGCATGCTCTGCTTTTCCCATTTCCTTAACATCTTACTACAACAAACATAGCCTCTCAACTTCTCAAAGTGGACAGTTTTCCAGTGGACATTACAGGCTTAACCCAAGCAGAAAAGCCATTTATTTTATAATCAAATGATTAACCCCACTTCCCTCCCTTGCCCTACCCCTCTTATCCACCCACCTACTCTGGCATAGCCTTACCAGTCCATAATGCCAGGCCCAGCACAGTCTGGTCTCGTGAATCCTTGAGGCTGAAGTCCGGAATAATTTGTAAGTTGTTTGTAGCATGAAGAGCATTGGCTACATTTTTTTTTAAGAGAAAAATAACTTGATTTTACCATGGATTGCTTTTCAAGCATTCAAGAGAACAAGAACTCTTGTTCTTTGCTATACAAAGAGAACAGATAAGTCTTGTGGGGAGCAGAAGCCTGGAAATCTGACATTATAGAACAAAGCTTATAAGGGAAATTAACTAAAACAAAAGCAAAAAAACTTGCCTATAATCTTAGCTACTTGGGAGGTGGACATCAAGAGGAATGTAGTTCTAAGACCAGCCCAACCAAAAAGTCCGAATGAGCCCCATTTCAACCAATGACTGGGCTTGGTGGCAAGCACCTGTCACTCCAACTACATGGAGAAGCACAAATAGGAGGATCATGGGGCAGGCTGTCCTGGGCATAAAGCAAGACCCTCTCTCAAAAGTAACCAACAACAAAGGGCTTGTGAAGTGGCTCAAGTGGTAAAACGCCTGCCTAGCAAGCATGAAGCCCTGAGTTCAAACCACTGGTATCATCAAAAAAAAAAAAAAAAAAGACTCCACAAGAGAAATACACATCATTAATTACAAGAAGATTAAAAAATGCTTTGACAATGTTTCCTATACCTAATTCTTACAATCTTATAACTGCTGTAAGGAACAAGAAAAACGGACATCTAGAAGTACAAGGCTGAAAAGTCATGGACTTTTGAGGATTGGGACAAGAGTGGCAATAGACTTCAGTTCCTACTCCACTGCAGGGCCTTCCCTTGATCTCTCTTTCTGGTTCCCTCTCATAGGTTACCTCCAGGGAGCTCAGAGACAGAAGAGAACTGATCACTCATGGAGGACCTACCAAGGCAGAGTTCTCAAACAGTATTCATGACAAGGAAAACCTTTGTCAGGCCTGTACTAAAAAAGGTCTGGAAAAATACCCCTGAAGAAGAGAGAGCAGAGCAGATTCTCACACCTTAACCAGATAGGTGAAATGAGCAGCCCCATCCTGAAAGCGTACATAAGAAACACAGTAGTCAAAAGTCAGACTATGTGTTTATCTAGTTTGACCTGAAAGGACAGTTTTTGGCAAGAGACTGGCTATACAGAACTCACCAATGGAAGCAACATCCACTCTGTAATTACCCAAACTACTGTCCACAAGTCAAACTGATGGGCAGAATTCCCAAGTGCCTACCTTTCTGCTCCAGAATGATGGACACCACATCTGGATGATTACAGGCAATCGCCAGGTGTAGTGGCGTCTGCAGATGGATGCTACCTGTGGAGCTGGTCAGGACCGAAGCATCCTTTGGCAAAGGCAGAGCCTCCTCTGTCTGTAGGTTTGGGTTGGCACCATGTTGCAGGAGCTCTGCTGTGAGGTTGGCCAGGCCATGTCGACAGGCGGTGTGTAGTGGAGTTTCTCCCTGAATGGAAACAAACAGCCTGAATCTAAGCAAAGGGTAAGGACAGCATAAGTGCCAAAGCTTGAGTCATCAGTGCTAGCCATAGCTCCTGGCTCATCCTACCACCAGCTGACCTCCATGACTTTGAACCTCTTTCCTTTGTGCCATCACCTTTAGTTTCTTTTAGTGTCTTCCAGAGCTCCTTCCAAATGCCCTGGCTTCCCATCTTCTTCCTCTTCTATAACCTCCTTAGTTAACCTTCACTTTCATAATTATTTTTTCTAATTATAAAAATAACATATTCTCTTGTTATAAAATAACAACAGTAGCAACCACCAAGTGTCACCAAAATAAACACTGCCGGCTCGGTGTATAGCTCGGTGGTAGAGCTCTAGTCTAGCATGTACGAGAACTTAGATGTGAGCCCTAGCACCTTGGGGCCTCCAGTCACAGCCCCAGAGATAAGCGATGCTAACAGTTTCACTATCACTTCTCTTTAATGCCCTATTAGCACCTGTTTTGTTTTTTCCTATAGTATTGGGGCTTGAACTGAAGGCCTACACCTTGAGCACTCCACCAACCCTTTTTTGTGAAGGTTTTTTTTTTTTTTTTTTTTTTTTTTTGAGATAGGATCTCAAGAACTATTTGCCTGGGCTGGCTTCGAACCTCAATCCTTCTGATATCTGCCTCCTGAGTAGCTAGGACTAAAGGTGTGAGCCATCAGTGCCTGGCTAGCTAGGCTTGTCTAATCTCCATATTTCTAATTAATATATTGATTTTTTTACCTTCAGACTTTATCTATAGGACTTGATACCATAGAAAGTAAGGATTTAGTGCACCCTTGCCACCCCACATCCTTCTCACAGAGCTCCCCCAAGTTCTTCCTAGTTGGGGCTACCCCTTGTCCAGCCCATTTCCCTACACATTTTCACTGGCTGTGCTCATTTATAACAACAGCTTGTACCAGTATCTACAAACCCAAGTCTCCAGTACTATTTTTGCATCCAATTTTCCCATTGCCACTAGACAACCCTGGCTCAATGTTTGTGAAGAATTCAACAATCACAATGGAATTTACTCCTTCCACACTAGTTCTTCCTCCTGACTAGCTCCCTCTTTCTCTTCATGGGTATACGAAAACAATTTTAATATCTTTTGCTGTTAAGCAGGCACATGCCACTGATTTCAACTCCTCTGAGAATCTGTTGCTTTGGGTCTAAGCCCAGCATGAGAAGTCTTAAAAGGTCATTGGTTGTCTAGACAGCTCCCACCTGGCTCCAACCTGGTCTCAATGCCACATTCACTAGGCCAGTCATCCCAGATAGCTATTCCAATTCTAAAATGATATTGCTCTTTTGCCCAAAACTGTTCTACAGATTGTCTCCTCCAACAGGATAATATATTCAGGCCTATCTCCAATGTCGCTCTCACATCAGGTCTCCACAGTGACTCTACATCTTACATTTAATCTACTTTTACTTTTTTTTCTCTCTCTCAAAATATCTTTTGTTCTATACTCATTCTTCTTGTGATTATGTAGATGACAATGTCTATGTGATAAGATGAAGTAGGCATTGTGATATAACATTGTGTCTATGAACGCAAGCACTAAGATACTATGATAGTTGATCTGGTAACTGAGATAGCTACTTAAGTGACTAATAGGCAGGAAGCACATACAGCATGAATATGCTGAACAAAGGGATGATTCATTTAGACTAGGAGGGCATGAGATTTCATCATGCTACTCAGAATGGTGTAAAATTTAAAACTTACAAAGTTTTTCTGTAATGTTCCATTTAATACTTTTGGATCATGGTTAATAACAGGTACCTGAAACCTCGAAAAGTGAAATCACAGATAAGGGGAAACTGCTGCACATTCTGTCTTGCTATTTTGTTATATGAACTGAATGAGCAATCACGTAACAGAATCTTACATTATGTATGTTTTTATGTACATATTTGCTAATTTTTATTAGTTTATAAAGTTCACAATATCTAGTTCAAGGCCTGATATACACAACAGATACTTACTTAGGAGATGGTCAGTGAATGAATCTATTATCCAATATTTAAAGATACATAAAGGAATCAGTTTTACTCTAGTTTTTAACCACAGTTATGTATTATCTTTTCAAAATATTAAAAAAAAAAAAAAGCTAGGCATGGTGGCTCATGCCTGTAATCATAGCTAGCTACTCAGGAGGTGGAAATTGGGAGAATCACAGTTGAAGGCCAGCCTGAGCAAAAGTTAGTGAGAAACCATCTCAATCAATAAGTTAGGTGTGATGACTATAGCCTGCCTTCCCAGCTACAAGGGAGACCTTAGGTTAGAGTACCTATTGCAATCTGAGGCTGGCCCTGAGCAAAAATCCAAATCCTGCCTGAAATATAAATAAAGCAAAAAAAGGGCTGTAGGTGTGGCTCAAATGATAAAAGTCCCTGCCTAGCAAACCTAAAACCTTGAGTTCAAACCCCAGTACTGCCAAAATAAATAAATAAATAAATAAATAAATAAATAAATAATCAAAAGTTGAAAAAAAAAAAAAAAAAAGTCTATTCCATTTTCCCTGCACATTCACAACTGCCGCTTTGTTCCTAGACCAAAATTATTTCCCTGGTTGCCTTGTGAGACTTACCCACTTGTTTCTGTGGTTCACATTGGCACCACTGGTTGCTAGGAAAAGAGCTGCTGCCTCATTTCCTGCCCCAGCTGCCCGCTGTAGTAAACAATTTCCTAGAAGAAAACAGCCAGAAATGAGGTAGCATTCAACACTGTACAACACCTGCTGTTCCCCACCACTTTACTGTACTACACAGGCATAGTTTATACTGACACAGAGACTAGGGAAGAACCTGGGCAGGAATACCTAGTTTTCCTACTAGCCACTGCCCAGCATCAGTGGTTAAGTTGTTTCAATGCTGGGGTTGATTACAGCAAGGTTTCTCAACAGTGGTGCTACTGACATCTTGTAAAGGATAAATCTTTGCTGTGAGGGCCTGTCTTGCACACTGTACAATATCCCTGGCTTCGGGTATGCCCAGTATATGCCAGTAAGACACCTGAACTTGTTCTGACAATCAAAAACGTCTACGAATGTTGCCAAATGTTCTGGGACAAGGTGGGGTACAGGCTGGTAACTGTCCTAACTTCGAACCACTGGGCTAGAGGACTATTTCACAAACAGAGCCTGCTAGAGTTATACCAGAAAATGTCCCTTAAGTACATGGGGCTTTTTTTTCCTAGGCTTTTAAATATACTTGCTCTTGGCCTACAAATATCTTGCTTAGCACTGTCACCTTTTTCTAAATAAAAATCTTAGAAAGAAAAAAATCAAAAATTGTTTTGTCAAATGATTTTAGCCCAGAAGTGTTTAATGGTCTTTTAAAATACATTTCCAGGTCAGGCACAGTGACTCACACCTGTAATCCCAGCTACCAGGAAACAGAGATTAGGGGGACAGTAGTGTGAGGCAAATCCAGACAAAAAGATAGCAAGACCTCCATCTCAACCACCAAGTAAAATATGGTGGTGTGTACCTGCCTTCCCAACTATGTTAGGAGGACTGTAGTCAGAGGTCCTCCCTGGGCAAAAACTCCATACCCTACCTGGAAAACAATTAAAGCAAAAGAGGCAGGAGGCATGACTTAAGTGGTAGAGTGCCTGCCTAGCAAATGCAAGGTCCTGAGTTTAAACCCCAGTACTACCAATAAAAAAAAAAATCTATTTCTAAACATAAACATAAAATCTCATGTTCTATTATTTAAAAATTCAAATAAATAACATAATAAGACTAAAACTAAGGTTTAAAAAAAAAATGGAACCACCATTTTGTTTTCATATCATTTGTCCTTTCAGAGAAAGTGACTCCCCCTGTATTTGACAGTCAATCTAATTTAGGCTTTTTTTTTTTGTGGTTCCAGGGCTTGAACTCAGGGCCTACACCTTGAGCCACTCCACCAGCCCTTTTTGTGTTAGATATTTTCAAGATAGGGTCTCAAAAACTATTTTCCTGGGCTTGCTTCAAACCACGATCCTCCTAAGCTCTGCCTCCTGAGTAGCTAGGATTACAAGCATGAGCCGCTGGTGCCCAGCAAATTATAGACTTTTTTTTTTTTTTCTTTTTTGGTGGGACTGGGGTTTGAATTCAGGACTTTATGCTTGCAAAGCAGGCACTCTACTGCCTAAGCCACAACTCCAGTCCTAATGTAGACTCTTCATAAGAGTTGCCTTTTCATTTCTGCAGCCCTGTGTATATAGTCTTAAATTATCTACTTTCCAAGCGAACAAAGATAATTGATAAAAAAAATTATTGAACTGTTGAAAACCCATGGACTAAGCTAATTACATGTAAAATGAAAAAAACAGAACATAAAAAAAGACAAAAAAGAATAAATCAACAGGAAAAAATAAGTCTTGAGACTGTATGTGATTAATAATCAAAGGTCATCACAGAGGTTCAATCACTAGCACTGCAAAAGCAAAACAAAACTTAAAGTATATAACATGAAATTAATAGACAAGAAAAAATTTAATGTAACTCTCAGAAACTAATAGATCAGGGCATGAGGCTATACCTCAGTGGTGGAACACTTGCCTAGCATGCATGAGGCCCTGGGTTCAATTCCCAGGACAGCAAATGAAAGAAAGGAAAGGAAGGAAAGGAAGGAAAGGAAAGAAAGGGAAAGAAAGAAAGAAAGGAAGGAAAGAAAGAAATTGATAGGTCAAGTGGTCCAAAAGTTTTAATTAATATAAGTAACATTTGAACAGCAAAATGAACAACTTTAATGCACACAGAGAAGGCTGTGTCTTGTAATTAAAACAATGCATATTCTTTTTAAGTGTGTATCAAACTTTTATAAAAACTTCTTCTGTAACTCTAAAATTCAAGTCTTTTTCTTTTTTTAAAGTTTAGCAAGGATTTATTTTAGTATAACAGGATAAAGTGTAGACAAGGGGGGAGATGGAGAAAAAGAGAGAAACATTCAAGTCTTAAATAGTAAAGAACCAATAGAAATAAGTATGGCTAATAACCAACATAAATCTATAGATTAAAGCTTAGTAAGAAGGGAATTTCCAAAGGGCTTTAGTATAAATTAGTTCTTCCTATAGTCCTTGCCCTTCAGTTTTTATGCCACCTACAGTGGTCATTTCATTTGACTTTTAATTCTTTGGGGTTTAATTCTTCTGGGGACTGAACCTTATCTATGCTAAATATCTCTACCATGAAGCTATTGCTCCAGCCCTTTGACCTTGACTTGAAATAATTATAACTTTAGCAAAGGAGCTATTTAGTACCTTTGGGGAGGCTTGGAGTCAGTTCTCTGTCAGTGTGTCCTACCTATACTATGCACAGTGCTAGCACTCAATACTGGCATATATGGAATCCCTCTCCTTTAAATATTATTTAGCCAGATCAAGGAAATACATTAAAACAGGGGTTCTCTAAATGTTACATATGGATTTCTGGGGGTTCCTGAAAGTCTTTCAGGAGGTCCATGAGTCAAAACTATTTTCATCCTACTTCTCATGTGCTTTTTGCTCACTATGTTGCATTTATAACTAATAGTGTAAAATCAACAGTGGGTGAAACTGGAGAACCTTAACACAAATCAAAACAATGGTGTCAAAGTGTACTAGGAGATTAAATGTCAACACTGAGTATATGTCTGGAAACCAGTGTGATACAATGGTGAGTGTGCATGAGGCTCCTCTCGCTCACACTGAATACAATGCTGAGTGGAGGAAGAACCTCATGGCATTAAGCTACATGCTGAACCTGGAACAGTTTTTCACTCCAAAGAATGACTGATTAATACGCTATTGTTATTCAAGTAAAGTGCATTTGGTACAAGTTTTCTTAAAAATAAACAAAGGAAGCCTATCTCTCTAAGAAAGACAATGGACAAAGAAAAAAAATAGACAGTATTTGTACCCAATGATAAAATGTGAGCTTTCAAGCGAAAATCAACATTTTAGAAAACTTTTCTCTGCAGTCCTAATTTGATACATCTTGATACTCAGACTTTTTTTTTTTTTTGGGTAAGACTGGGGTTTGAACTCAGGGTTTTGTGTTTGCAAAGAAGGTGCTCTCTTGCTTAAGCCACACCCCCAGTCCATTTTGCTTTGGTTATTTTGGAGATGGAGGTCTTGAGAACTATTTGTTTGGGCTGGCCACAAACCTCAATCCTCCAATCTCAGCCTCCCAAGTAGCTCATATTACAAGTGTAAATCACGGCGCTTGGCTGATACTGAGACTTCTGATGAGATCACTGGTTAAAAATGACAAAGATAATTCTAAAATACATAAGCATTTGGAAAATTTGAGTAACAACATTTTCCAAATAATGAAGGCATGATGTTAAAAAATCATGAACAGAGATGATCTATTCAAAGCATTGAATTTTAATGTCAAAATACTGAAGTTCACAGATATTTAAACTATGTCTCCTTGCCCTACCTGTCTGTACGATGATGTATTTTCTTCACATACTTTAGCCAAAACAATTTATTGCAAAAGACGTAAAATACAGATAAAAGAACCCAGTCACTTATCCAATTAAATTTTGTTGTGAAACTTATTTTTCACAATGTGTTATATGTTAACATATACTGATTTATTAAAGCTAATTAACATAGCTCTTTAAAATTTCTCAGTTTTAATTTCTAAATATGGTCAACATTGAAGATATAGCCTACCTAAACAAAACTCTTTAAGATATTAATTGTAAGAGGATAAAAAGAGAGCCAGTATGGTGGTATACATCTATAATACTAGCACTAGGGAGGGTGAGGCAGGAAGATTCCAAGTTCAAGGACAGGCTAGTCTACAACGAGTTCAAGGCCTCAAGACTCTACAGTAAGATCCTATCTCAAAAAAAAACAAACCAACCAAACAAAAAAACTCTCAAGAGAGTAAAAGGCATTCTGAGTCTTAGAAAGTCTGAACATTACTGCATTGAATGAATAGAAATGTTTCAGCTTAAAAGATTTAACTTGAGGTCTGGCTAAGATTTAAAAATAATTACCACCAGAGCTCTTTACTGTATGTAAAATTAGGAACAAAACAATTCTCATAATAGTAAGCCATTTGGTTTCTAAATTTTTGATAAAAACATTTATAGCTGGTGGAGTGGCTCAAGTGGTAAGAGTGCCTGCCTAACAAGTATGAGGCCCTGAGTTCAAACCCCCCAGTGCCTCCAAAAAAAAAAAAAAAATAATAATAATAATAAAAACATTTACAGGCCAGGTATGGTAAACACACTCGTGATTCTACTACTCAGGAGACTGAGGGAGAAGGATTGCAGGTTTGAGGTCAATCTTCTGAGTAGCTACAACTTCCCTAAAAAGCCAAAACCAAAACAAAAAGCCCAAAACAACAACAACAAAAACTCATTTACTGGACATTTTCCAGAGCCCCCAGGTTCCGCATCATCTCTTAGGGTTCTACTATGTTTTACCTGTCATCGGATCAGGTGCATCAGTGTTGCTGCCACGATGAATTAGTCTGGCTGCAAAGCTGTTTTCATCAAATGAAGTCCCATTAACTACAGGGAGATCTTCGAAGGGGTTTACAGACTGGTCAGAAGACACGGTGATGTACTGTAGTGCAAGCCACAGAGCTGTGCTGCCCTCATGGTCTTTTAGTTCTAAATCTAACCTGAAATAAGGAAGCAAGGTGAACAGCAAATATAATCTTCTGACACTGTCTTGTCAATAGCCTCATTCTCTCTATACTTTTTAAATGACAATTTTTTATTTTACTTTTACTTATAAAGATTTATAACACTAGGATTGGAGGCCTGGCTCAAGCAGTAGAGTACCTGCGTAGCAAGCATGAAGTCCTGAGTTCAAACCCCTGTACCACCAAAAAACACCATAATACTAAAAGACGTTTTGAAAGAACTTTTCACTCACAATCCCACCCTTACAACTGCTGTTAAATTTCTCTATGCTTCCATACGTACTGTTTACACTGCAACAGCTGACTGAACACATATTCGTTCCTGGCGGTGATAGATAAGTGCAGTGGAGTCCTGCAGGATAAAAAGAAGAGGTATCAATTCAGGACAGATCAATTCAGAACTACTCACAGCAAGAGGTGGCTAAAATCCTATGCAGAAACACCATCTAAAAGAAATGCCTCATCTGTAACAGTTTTCCAAAACTATGACCAATAATCCAAACATGAAAATGGATTTGCCTATATGCCCATTTATTCACTGGCCAAAAAAGAACAAGAATCAATAAAAGGAAAAGAAAAAATTTTTCTCCAATTCAATTCTGACCCCTTATGAAATGTTTTTGCTATTTTTAATTTTTAAAAAAAATTTCTGGCAATACTGGGGTTTGAACTCAGAGTCTTATGCTTGCTAGGCAGGTGCTGTACTACTTGAGCCATGCCCCCAGCCTTTTATGCTTTAGTTAGGGTATCATGTTTATTTCTGGGCCAGCCTGGATCACCATCCTACTTCTTATGTTCCCCAAGTAGGTGGGATGACAGGCACATACCACCATACCTGACTTTAACTGACTGAGATGTGGAGGGGTCTTGCAAACTATTTGCCCAGGCTGCCTCAAACAGCCATCCTCCTGATCTCCACCTCCTGAATAGCTAGTATTACAGGCATGAACCCTGTACCTGGCTTTTTTTTTTGACACAGGGTCTCACTATGTAGCCCGGCTGACCTCAAAGTTGAGATCCTTCTGCCTCAGCCTCCCAATGCAGGAATTATAGCTGTGTACCACAAAGACTGGCTGCGTATACTATTTTTGAAACAGTAATTTCCATCGTAAGTATGCATACTTCCCCTTTCCTATCTTCTGCCAATTTTGAAAATAAACCTTTTTCTTCCTTCCCTATAATTTTCTGTTATTCTGGAACACACACACAGAGTAGCAACAGATAATAACTGACTGAAGTAGCATTTAACTCCTCTTCACTGCTTTTACTTAGCACTCAGGTGCCTTGAAGGAGGTTGCCACTGCAGAGAAGGGCCCATGGAGCAGGCAATTGGAGGGGGTAAAAAAATTCAATTGGAGGATAGAGGATGCAATTATTTGAGGGAATAAGGTAATTATCATATGATAGAGTACATGGAAATCCATCTTGTTTGAATACTTTATTCATCAGACAAATCCATTTTCCTGTTTTGACAGACAAACTTCAGAAAAATCTTTTCTTATTTTTTCAGAGTTCTCAAAAATGTAAATCACTGAGCTGCTCTGCTGAGAAGTGGGCCTACAAGTGACTATAGATACAGGGGGTTAACTGTCCTTTAGAGCCTCCCACACAGACGGCCTCTCTGAGATTCTAAGCCACAAGAAGCCCTCAATGAAATCCTGGTAAGGTGTAAAAGGAACAGAACACTGTCAAAATATGGGAAGGGCTGTGCTGAAAAGGGTAGCAAATTATGTATATAATGAGTTATCTAAAGTGAGGGTATTTCTACAAGGCAGAATTGGGTTTAAAATAGGGAATTTTCTCTCAACTAGGCTTCACAGAGACAAAACAGACTGTCTTGAGTTAGTGTGCTCCTTTTTTTCACACTATCTAAGCAACTAAGAAATGCTGAAGTAGCCGGGCACTGGTGGCTCATGCCTATAATCCTAGCTACTCAGGAGTTCAGGAGGTTCAAAGCCAGCCCAGGCAAATAGTTCTCAAGACTCTACCTCAAAAACTAAATAAATAACTACGAAACAAAACAAAAAAACCCCAAACCTCAACCCAACACAAAATAGGGCTGGTGGAGTGACTCAAGCTATAGAGCACCTTGCTAGTAAGCATGAGGCCCTGAGTTAAACTCCAATACCTGGAAAAAAAAAAAGATTGCTGAAGAAGGTTCCCTTGGAATAGCTGACTAGATGGCCACTCTGGTTCCTTAACTCAAAGACGAAAGAAACTGAGTAGAAATTCTAACACTTTAGATAGCAAGGACAGAAATGCTTTCCCCCAAATGCCTCTAGTCTTAGTCATGACACCCATTTGCATGACAAATAAATATTTGTTACTTAAATAAATATTAGATTTATTAATGCCGAATACCTCGTAAGCCAATTTTGTGCCACTATAAAATATCCTTCTGGGTTAGTGCTAAGAACATAGCCTCTCAGCTCTGTAACTCACCTGCCCTTGCTGTCCTGCATGTTGGGGTTGGCACCAGCTTGCAGGAGGGCCTCTGCAATCTGAGCCATCTCACACATCACATCTGCAGAGTGTTTCTTTGAACTGTACAATGCCACAAGATGCAATGGTGTCTCCTGAGCCCCCAAAGTAGCAGCATTGACTAGGGCCCCGTTCTTAATGAGGAAAGTGGAAGCAAAGAGATCTCCTTAAAAAGAAACAACAGAATACACAGTAACACATGACAATACTCAGGGCAAGCTCTTCTGGCCATCACTTTCTCAAAAGGTGCAGCTGACAACTGCAGACAAAGAGGGACAACTGAGTGTGTATGAAGGAATGTCTTAGGATACCTGTAAGTGGAAACCTGAGATCATGGAGTTACATATTCCATTTAAAATGCTTCTTTGTCCAGTTTTTATTATCTATGATCATCTGTCCAGTCTCCTACCCTCACTATCTCTTCACTGTTTTTAAGTGAGGCAGGCCAAAATTAGGGAAAGTTTGGGACTCATAGAAACTTAGTATTTTATTTCAGATTGACCTTGCTCTGGCCCAAGAACCGCCCATGCCCCTACCCACTCATTAATTATTGGATGGGAATCACCTGCTTCTGCCCTTCCATGGGTTAGCATAGGTTTTAAGAGTACCTGGAAAAGAGAAATACACTTTCTCAGCCTCCAGATTCTACCTGGGCCCCACCATGCTCCTCTTTGTATTTCCCTTTCCTAACTTTTAATAAACTCCATTTACACCCATGTGTCCTACGATGGATTCTTCCTGCCGGACACAAAGAATTTGGCAGTCTTCTAATCACAGACTGCACCAGCACTGTTAAGAATAGCAGGCATTGGGCCAGGAGTGGTGGCACACACCTGTAATCCTGTCTACTCAGGAGACAGAGATTAGGAAGACCTATGTAGGAGGCCAGGCAGGACCAAGACTTAGTGAGACTTCATCTCAACCAGCAAGCTGGACATGGTGGTTTATGCCTGTTACCCCAGTATGTGGGAGGCATAGGTAGAAGGATCACCATCCGAAACAAGTCCCTAGGCAAAAAAGTAAGACACTATCCAAAAAATAATTAAAGCAAAAAAGGGCTGGGGATGTGACTCAACAAGTAAAGCACCTGCCTAGCAAGTGCAAGGCACTGAGTTCAAACCCTAGCACCACCAAAACAAAACACAAAGAATACTAGGCTTCTATCCTTCAAAGGCTTCTTCTGGTCACCTCTCAAAAAGGGCATTTCAGATTTCTCCCTGGCACAATCTCTAGCTCCCATTTCCTGACCACAGCTATATCTGAGCAGCATTTACCTCCAGTCTGCTTCCCTTGCATACAGAGTAAGTCAAGTCTGATTCATTATTATGAAGACTCTGCTCTTTTTAGCTGTGCAATTTCAAAACATGCAGACAGAACAGACTCAACATGAAGTTTACAAATGAGTATCAGAACAGAGAATCTGAATACATTACTATTTACAAAAATATAACATTGTAAATCAACTGACTGTAAAAACAAAAGTTCTTTCTAAATCCCTTCCAGGGATTATTACAGGTAGAACAGTCTACCCAGGACTACTTACAAATTCCAAATTAAGACTAAATAACTTACATAAAATCCATTAACCTTAATAGTTCAATCTACCATTTTTGACAATTCATTCCCTGTATTGGGGAGGGGGAACCTACTTTGACATACTGACAAAAGGCCAATAATTAAATTTATAATTAAGTTAATATCTCAAAGTATGAGCATTTATGAACATACTTTCTCAGATACCAACCAAGAAAAACTGACTCTAGATAAGTTCCACAATACATGGATGAATTCAGAACTAAGCAATCTGATGTATGACAATTTAATATTAATAATGTTTAAAAAGAGGGGGATATGGCTCAGTGGCAGAGCAATTGTCTAGCATACATGAGGCCATGGGTTCAATCTCCAGAACCACAAAACAAACAGACAAACACACAAAAATGAAATAAAACTTGTAAAAGAACAGGGAAAAGCTGGCATGGTGATGCACCCAGTAATCTAGACACTTAGGATGCTGAGGTAAGAGAAAGGCAAGTTCAAAGCCAATATGGATGATCTAGGGAGTTCTAGGGCAACCTGTGCTACATATCGAGACTCTGGCTCAAAAATAACAAAAACAGGTAAAGTGCTTGTCAAGTTAACTTGGCAAATGGCAAGGATTAAGCAATTAAGCTTATTGTACAATTAAAGTTTGATCTTCCTTAAACTTGGTTCCATTTATAATTTAACACATGAAAATGCTAGCTATAGAAAAAATTCATGTTTCTTAAAAAAAATAAGGCAAGAAAAACAAAACATCAAAAATGATGAAAGAGAAACTCAGTAACAAATGTTCTGAAGCATTTCACCTAGCTAGGTGGAAGCAATTGTTTCTCTCATGGCCTCCAGATGGCACCAATTAGCTCCTGCAGGGAAAGTCCACCAAGCATTCAATTAAATAGCTTCCAATTAATTTCATTCTCAACTTGAAAGTTTGCCTGGGTAACTAATAGGGATATGTATCTAAGTTATTTAGAGGGCTTAACTGGAATTCAGAGGTATGTTCTACTGATTTGGTCTCCATATGCCAAGACCTACAGGATAAATTCCTTACAAATCACATCCTTTCTCATGGAGGATCCCAAAAACGCAGAACAAGCTCCCAGAGTTTGATTTGCTGGTCCCATGATGGCTGACTGTACTACTTCTTAAATTTGTTGACAGTCTTGGAATGGATGGTAAGGTGTTGAAGGTACCTTGGAAGTGTTGAGAGAGAGAGAGAGAGAGAGAGAGAGAGAGAGAGAGAGAGAGAGAGAGAGAGTGTGTGTGTGTGTGTTGTGTGTGTTGTGTGTGTGTGTGTGGTTTGAACTCAAAGCCTCACACTTTGGTAGGCAGGTGCTCTACCACTTGAGTGAGGCCCTTTTTGCTTTAGTTATTTTTCTGATAGGATCTCAAATTTTTGCCTGCTCTAGCTGGTCCTGAAATGTAATCCTCCTCATCTTTCCTTCCTGAGTAGCTAGGATTACAGAAATGAGTCACAGTAGCTGGCTAGAACTTCATAGCTGATCTGCTTCTGTCTTTGCATTATGACACTTCCATCTATTTCTAATTCTGCTGGTACTGTACAAACTGTTTTGTTGTTCTTGTTATTTTGAGACAGGGTCCACTGGCCCTCAACTCAAGATCCTCCTGCCTCTGCCTTCCCGAGTACAGGTGGTGTTTGCCAATGGATGCAGACTCTTGAATCACAACTTCTACAGTATTTTCTCTTTTATAAAGTCATTTATAAGAAGTTTGCTTTTTAAGGCTGGAGGTGTGGCTCAAGTGGTAGACTACCTTCCTACTAAGCTCAGATCCCTGAGTTCAAAAGCTAGTACCACTAAAAAGAAAAAAAAAGTGTTCTTTTCAAATCTTACAATATCATTCATTTTAACTTCCTCAACTGTATTTCCATAGTCTACACATTTAAAAGGACCTTCTGAAGTGGTAATGATCTCTCAAATCTGTTATCTGTCTCAAATCTCTTATCTGTACTGCATGTGGAAGTGAGAGAGGAAAAAAAAATCTGTCATCTGTATTTCCATGCTCATTTTCACCTGAATATATGGGTTTCATTTGGTCCTCAGTGGACAAGGAATTTCAAAATTTGCTTTTTAACAACTCCCACCTGCTCTGTACTTTCTATTAAGGAACCATCTTGCTAAAGAATGTGAGTTCTGGCAGAGGTAGCTAGATGGCCATGGGCCCTTAATATGCTAACCAGACTATGCCTAACATATAAAAATACATACAGGGTTGGAGGCATAGCTCAAGTGGTAAAACACCCGCCTAGCAAGCATGAGGACCTGAGGACTTGAGTTCAATCCCCAGGACTGCCAAAAGAAAAAAAAGGGGGTGTAGGGGTGTATTCCACCTAGCTGAGTGGAAGCAGTTGCTGCTCTCAGGGACTTCCAGGTGCTCTTATCCAGGGTTAGTCACCATACTCTTACACAAAAGAGTCCCTGGGAAATGTCTGGGAAGAAAATGGATTGACTAGTCAGGGTTACAGGGCTCTATTTTAACAGACTAGCTCTAATTCCAATCAATTATCATTTCAGATAACTTCTCTTACTAGTCCTTTGTCCTGAAATACTTTCATGCTCCTACACAAACTTTTCTAAGTGGAAAATGTATGTATAATATAGCACACATACAGAAGATAAACTTGTCAGGAAAACATGTAAGTATTTGGATTCGGATGAAAGAAGGTACAATAAAAAGTTTTTGTATCTTAAGCCTTCCTAAAAGACAGATTTTAGATCAGATTTATCTCATTAATAAGATCCCAAAATAAAAATTTCCAGTCAGGCACAATGTTACATCTATAATCTCAGCTACTCGGGAGGTAGAGATTGGGAGTATGAGATCGAGGGCAGCCTAGGCAAAAAGTTCACAAGACCCCATCTTAACCAATAAAAGCTGGGCATGATGGCATACACCTGTCATCCAAGCTACATAGGAAGTGTAAAGAGAAGGACTGCAGACCAGGCCAGCATGGGCAAAAACACAAGACTCTATCCCAAAAATAACTAAGCAAAAAGGTGTGGCTCAGATGGTGGAGTGCCTGCCTAGTTAAGTGCAAGGACCTAAGTACAAACCACAAGACTGTCAAAAAATAAAAAGCAACAAAAATTTATACTTATCATTATACAATTATACATTTATGTATACTCCCTGCAAAAAGAGCTGTTTATGAAAAACTACACATTGAAAATTGTTGATGACATTAAAAGAAATCAGTACAAAGGGCAAAAGAACACAACAGCCAGGTGGGGCAGAACACACTCAGAAGGTAGAGGCAGAAGGAACACAAGTTCCAGGCCAGCCTGGTCTATACAGCAAGACCCTGTCTTAAAAAAAACAAAACAAAACAAAACATCCAGAAAAGGGCTAGAAAATCAACACACTATTGATTAAGTTTCTGTCAATAAGAAAATGTAAAATATATTTTTGAAAGATTTCCATAAAAAGTAGTTAAGGGTTAAGGTCCAGGATATGGCTCAGTAGTAGAACACATTTAGCATGGACAAGTCCTTGGGTTCAATCCTCGGCACCGATAAATAAAAGATAAAAACTGGTCTTAAAAGTTTCGGTAACTTTATCACCTCATTCACCAATGCTAGGTAAATGACACATTACTGTAATAATTTCTCCACACGAAAAAATTTCTAACAGGCCAGGAGTGGTGCTGCACACTTGTAGTCCCACTTATTTGGCAGGTGGAGGTGGAAGGATCTCCGCCTGAGACTGACCACAGCAAAATTAGCACAAGACCCTATCTAAAAAACTAAAACAAAAGGACTGGGATGGCTCCTTGCCTAGTAAGTGAGAGGCTCTGAGTTTAATCCCCAGTACAGCAAATAAACAAATAAAGGGAATAGCCAGTAACCTTCATTACTCAATGAATATAAACCATAATTAATGCTGCTCCAGGTGGTGCCATTGTATTTAAATTTACTATAGCTAATAGGATAAAGGATCCCTATTTAAGGAGAGTCCCACTGATTTACGTGGGTTAAAAAAAAAGTGCAGAAGAACTAGATTTTTTTTTAAGAAAGCAAGGATTCATCTTCTTGACCAGTTCAGGCTAATCAAAGAGTTGGCAACATCTGGTCACATGTGTACTTCCTGTGGAGTCACCCAAGAACACTGGCTGCTTATTACATCCTTCCAACAGATTGGTGTATACGTGGTTGGTAAGATGATCACTCTTCTGTTTATAGATTCTAATGCATTTCCAAAAGTAGACCTAGATCTCATATATTAAAGAACTTCCTTCACTTATAATGAATTTAAAGTAAGTTAACAGCTAAACTTAAATCTATTATTCAATTTAATCATTTGGGCAGGCCAATAAGACTAACAGCAAGTTGAAGTGAGGAAAAGTGAAACATTCCTACAGGAATTGGATCTAGTTATGGCATTCTAACGCGAGGGCAAGGTACCAGTCAACGGGTAGTCTTTGTGCTAAGTACACTACTATCACTGTCTCTCACCCTCCCAAAAGCATAGTAAAGCATTTTATATGTGAGAAAAAGAAGACAGTGTGGTTAATTGACTCTCCAGAGACTAAAAAGATGAGCCAGGATTTAAATCTTGGTATATCCAAGCTCTAAAGTCAGCACCCTGCCCACTACACCACTCCATACCCTCTAAAATTAGCAACAATCAACTGTACTATATCCATGATGCAATTCATATGCTTATAGGCAGTTCATAAATTCAAAGTAAAAGATTAAATAATCTGAAAACAGGCATCAAAAATGAGACCTGTTAAAACTATTCCAAAAAGGGTGGGGGAGGGAGATAAAGGAGGAAGTGAATTCAACTATTATATATATTGTAAGAACTTTTGTAAATGTCACAATGCACCCCAATACAACCATAATGACAAATAAATAACTAAGCATCAAAAATGTATCAACAATTCTTGTAACTAAGCAATCACCAAAATATTTAATAACTCATTAAAGATATTTTTCATCAAGCATAAGAATTTAACTCCACGAGAGGAAAGGAATATAATTCTCAGATTGTTTTCTTAGTAACAAGTATATTTGTTTCCAAAATAAACACCTCAGACACTAAACAGTGTGGGAAAGAACAAATCCCTATGTGAAGAAAACTTTCCCCTGTGAATACACGCCCAGTACTAAGCACCCAATGCCTCTGCGTAGTGCAGTGGTGCTTGGGGAAAAAGCATCTGCTAGGACTGGAGGTGTAGCTCAAGCAGCAGAGTGCTGGCTTTGCAAGCATGAAGCCCTGAGTTCAAACTCCAGTCTCACAAAAAAAAAAAAAAAAAAAAAAAGAAAATGCATCTGCTACAGACACTGACATGCTCTGAGAATTTCATATCCAATAATGAGCAAAAATTTCTTCTCTACTGGCCAGCAAACACAACATTCTAACACATAAATTAGAAGGATATTTATATTAAAACCTTTGCCCCTAAATGGCAGAGCCACAGCTGCAACAGAACAAATACACTACATTCTCCTAACAAGGAACAACTCGTGAATGGCAAAACTATAGTAGAAACAATAAGAGTAGTATCATAATACATAATGAGAAGGCTAAAAATATACATAATTAAGATGTGGTGAAACCAGCATATTTTGTCTTTGCTGTTCACAGGTAAACAACAAGAAAGTGGCCATGACAAAGTACAGTAAACAAGTCAGTTACTCCTCCAAAAATTAAGATTTTGACCTTTTTTTTTTTTGAGAAGGGATCTCACTTTGTAGGCCATGCTGGCCTTGAATTTACAATCCTCTTGCAGCAGTCTCCTGAATGCTGTGACTACAGGCATGTACCACCATTCCTAAGTAGGCTTTGACTTTTTTTTTTTTTGTGGTACTAGGGTTTGAACACAAGGTCTATTTTTCTGATAGGGTCTCAGGTTTTGGACAGGTTAGCTTGGACTGTGATCCTCCTACTTATGAGTGCTTTGTAACTGGAATGTCAGGCACAGACTACCACATCCAACTTATTGAGATGGGATTTCACTTGTTTGCTCAGGCTGGCCTCAAACCATGCTCTTCCCCATTAGTCCCTCCCAATTAGCCAGGATTACAGGTGTGAGTCATAGTCCCTGGCAACATTTTTGAAAGCTTTAAGTCCATACAAGAATCCTAGCTCTTTATAATTCTCACTAGCTCAAAAATGACCACAGCAAAGTCAAGTCAGGCAGGATCCATGTGGTATACATGAATTAGTAATAGGGCCATAGGAAGCAAAAAACAAAAAACTATAGTCCTTCTTATCCACTGTTCAGGCTGGCAAAGTGGCTCAAGTGATAGTGTACTTGTCTAGCATGCACAAGGTCCTGGAATCCTCAGCACCACACACACAAAAATTAATTCATTAAGATTATGGAAACAACATGATGAAACCCACCAAGAGGGAGAGGGGGAATGGGAACATAATGGGGGGAATGTTTAAGGTACACTGCATACCTGATGCATGGAATTTTAACAATGAAATACCCTCTTACTATAATGTATGATAAATCAAAAAATTTTAAACAAATTTAAAAGATTATGTTTTGATCAATTTTATCATTTCCATATTGTTCCCACTACTGACAATAAAATAACTATAATTTCAAATAACTTTCCTAGAACAAAACACTGTGTCACTTTGCCATGACAGAAGTCTATTCTGTGAAAGAGAAAACCCTGAATCTAGAATACATTTGGAAAGTTTTGTGGTCTTGACACTTGCCTTATATCCATGCTTGAATACAAAAGGAAAGTGTTCCCAGCACAATTCCTAGAGAAAGAGATAATACTGTACAAGAACACACATCAGTTACTACTAGTAAAAGGCACTTTTCAAAAGCCATCTTTCTAGCTATTCTTCCTCAGGCCCTGTAGGCACTATAAACAGCCAAACTACCAAGGCATAGGCACTAGCTCTTCAGTTCCTCCTCTGACCCCAGGCTCACAAGTTCTAAGTCATGTACCTAGCAGGTGTAGATTCAAGATTCTTTTGGGAACATCTGGAACTGAATCAGGGAATCTTTAGCAACCATGTGGATAAAAACAAATTGCCCATTGAGAAAAATATAAAAGACATTCCTTCCTACCTCTTTGGATTCCTTTATGTAACAAGCTCCAGCCATTCTTGTCTACCATGTCCACATCAGCTTTATGACTGACGAGTGTGGTGGCAATACTCTCTAGTTGCCGTGAAAGAGCTAGATCTAATGCAAGGTCTCCATTATGATCCACTTCATTCAGCTTCCCAGGAAGCTGCACAGATAAATTTGTAAATCAGCATTCAGAAAGTAGAAAATACAACCGATTTTAATTTCTCTCACTTGCTGGGCACCAGCGGCTCACATCTGTAATCCTAACTACTTGGGAGGTTGAGATGGGGAGAATCAAAGTTCAAGACCAGCCTTAGCAAATAGTTCACGAGGCCTCCCCTCCCACATACACCTCCACAATAACTAGAGAAAAATGGATTGGAGGTATGGGTCAAGCAGTAGAGCACCTACTTTGCAAACATGAAGCCCTGAATTCAAACCCCAGTCCCATGGAAATTAATAAATAATTTCCCCCACTTGACCCTTAAATATTGCTTCTTACACAAATGTCAAATTTTAATGCTACGACACTGCTTACTCTCCAAATTCAACCTCATTCACAAACTTCTATAAGTCAGGAACATGCTTTCAGGGAACACAGAAATAACAGGGTTTACAGATGTAAACAATATCAAGATAATTAAGGACCATGGGAGGGAGAGAAGGGATACAGAACAACAGAGATGCTGACAGTGCCATAGCGTACAAGTGCCAGGGCAGAGGTTCAGAGAACTTTATGGAAAATAGTTAACATTTCATGAATTAGGCTGTGGCCTAATTCCTCCCAGCAATTCAATGCCTCCTCACACGCTGAACACCCAGAATAAAAGATACTTCACTCCCATCTGCATAGGCAGAATAATGGCCTCCCAAAGATGTCCATATTCTCAGAACCTATGACTATGTCATCTTGCATGGCAAAAAGCACTTTGCAGATGTGATTAAAGTTAAGGGACATCAGATGGGGGAGTATCCTGGACGATCCAGGAGGGCTCAATCTAGTGAAAGAGGAAAGTGTAAGAGCAGGTCAGAAAGATGTGATATTAGAAGGACCTGTCATTGTTGGCTTTGCAGCTGGAGGAAGAGGCTACAAACTAAGGAATGTGAGTGCATCTGAATGGCCCTCAGCAGACAACAAGAAAATGAGGACCTTGATTCTATCACAAGTCACTGAATTCTGCCAATAATCTAAGTGAGCAGGAAATGGATTCTCTATACAGTCTCCATAAAGAATCCCAGCCTACTAATAACACCTTGTTATTAGTCCAGTAATGCCTGTTCTGGATTTCCAATTTACAAAACTGCAAGATAATGAATCTGTGTTGTTTTAGCTACTAATTTTGTGGTAATTTGTTAAAGCAGCAAATGAAAACATAGATTTTAACACCTGGAAGTCAAGTACTACTATAGTAACTATCTAAAAATGTAGCCTGTTGAATTAAGCAATAGACTGAATATGGAAGAATTCTAAGGAGCATGACAGGAAATGCCCAGATTTCCTTGAACAAGCCATTAGGAGAAATATGCACATTAAAGATCAGGCCACTGATAGGTCAGAAGGAAGTGAGGAACAATATTGAGAAAAACAAAGAGCGTTACAGTTTTGGGAAAAGATAGCAAAAAGGGAAAGGCAGCAACAGTACCTGTGAATCCATTTCAATCAAATAAAGGAAGACCACATCTTCTCTCTCCACTTTGATAGCTTTATGTAATGGGTACTCTGTCTTAGACTTGATCATCTTGTATAACAACTGAGCACTCATGCTACTAAAGTCCTCCTTTCGCAAATCATCCTACAGATTAAAAACATGATGAAAAGCAAAACAGATACAATTTATTAATAACAATAACAACTGTTACTCAATTAGCATTTTGCCTGTATCAGGAGCTACTATGAGGGTTTAACACTTCCCAACTAATTCAATCCTCATAAAAACCTGTGAGGTGGGTACTCTTATCATCCCCATATCACAAATGAAGAAAGTAAAGCAAAAATTACAGTCAGACAGTGAGTAAAAGACCAAGTCAGGGTCTGGACCGAGAGGCACCTCCAGCACCTGCACCCCTTATCACAGACTGCTGGACCTTTCAGTGAGATGGTACAGCTGGTATGAGCAATGCTGACATCCAACGTGAAACAAATCAGACAGGAACCATTCCCATGAGAACAGTCCTCCCCCAGTAAGCTACAAAATGGTAATTACAGAATTAGTCAGAACAACTGCAAACAATTCCTTTCACTGAGTCTCAACTGTTGTAGATTTCATTTCAACCTATTAGCAGAGAAAGGTTATCACTTGTTTCAATTCTTTAGACACCAGTTCTTTCAGATACCTTTTCAAAAATACGGTAATTCTTCCCACAATGTTTTTGTATACCGAACGACCCACAGCAACTAGTTTATAAAATGTAGCCTTGTTTTTTAAAAAATAAAAAACATAAAAATATAAAATATTTTCTTTATGATAAAAATGACCTAAGAAACGCGAGTCTAAATTTAGTAAGATTTTCACCTGATTGAGAAGCCAGGGAACGCTGTGAAATGAGCTGTTGAGTACTTGAGGCCTGCTTGTGTGAAATGGTGTTCTACCCATGAGGCTTGGTCACAGCTTCCACAGGAGGGCCAGGGCAGGTGTCCCTTTCACCCAATCCCATTCCTGAATGTGAGCCCTCCTCTCTGAAACTGCAGAACTAACAGACTTCAGAACTGAAAAGTGTCTCTCAGATATCTAATCCAACTACTTATCCAATATGTAACACTAGATGCCAGAGAAGTGGACTGCCAACTGAACTAGGTTCCAACATCTGGGTTTCTGACTGCAGCAACAGTGATTTGTCCATAACCCTCCATCTCTCACTCACCCAATGACTTGCAATAATTTCTGCACAGTAGTTCATCAATGTGCTGGCATTCAGTTCTTCTGCAGTCTGATAGAAGCGAATACAGTTCCTAACATTCACCAGAGACATAACACCCTTCTCACATCTATAAGAGATATTTAATAGTATTATTAGGATAAATACATTAAAAAATAAACCAAAGCAATAAACTGTGTGCCTGCTGGTTTTGTCCAATAACACTAAGGTATAAGGCTAAGCAATGTGCTTTGAATAAATTATAGCTGGGCTCCCATATTTTAAAGTGCAAGAATTTCATTATATTATAATGCTCAGTTCTGGACAGAATCAAAATAACCTTCAAATAAATGTGTTAAACACAGTAATCATATGAAACTTGCTGGTCATGTGCACAGGTAGTTTTAAAATCAAGCACACTAGATTAATGTCAGTCCTCTGGCATTTAATCATATGGGACACGTCTGCACTTCCCACCAGCAAAACTCTACTATACAAACACTGGTTTAAGTGTAATTGCAAATACGAGGCTCTATGCCTCAATAGATTTAAAAGTTCCTTAAAGGTCCTCCCAAAAGATGAATCTGTATGGTATATGAATTATAATTCAGTAAATCTGTATTTTAAAGTTCCACCCAAAATACCTTTAATGTATGGAAGCAATTAAGAGTCAAAACATAGTACAGAAAGGGAGAGAAAAACTGGCTACAATGGATATTCCCATGAAACCAAGTAACAATAAGACTCTTTCAGAATCACTTAAGAACATCAACTATATCAGGGAAACAGCCTCGGGGACATAAGCAGGCATCAAAATCCTAGACTACAAGTTGTGGCATTTGAATGATCCAGGTTTTCGTCCCCTCCAGAATTCCTGGAAGTCTTAGCAAGCCTCCCACACCACTAGGCCCATGGGGAAAAGAGGCCATGGTATGGTCCTTCATCTCCCTTACCTACACATCTCCCTAAAACTTAGATTCACCTCCAAGGGCAGCCACTGAGGCTCAGTATAGTATCACGCACATTCCCTTGACATCCCGGGGGAAAAGAGGCCATGGTATGGTCCTTCATCTCCCTTACCTACATACACATCTCCCTAAAACTTAGATTCACCTCTAAGGGCAGCCACTGAGGCTCAGTATGGTATCAGGCACATTCCCTTGACATCCCACTATTACTTTTCCTGTCCCACAGCCTCCATCAAAACTCTTTTCTAGCACAAAGGCAAAAAGGAAAGCAAAATGAACTGCAAAGTAAGAAAGATGTGAGTTGAGATCCTTTTTGCATTTGAGGGACCAAATTACTTGAGCTCTATGTGCTCCTGTCTCCTCCTCCATACAGTAGGTATCATATTCTATTTCAGAGGTTTGGGAAATCTCTGTTTCTTTCAACATGAAGGAAAACTAGATCTTCTAGCACAACATGAGGTACTTAGAGGTATGCTCTGAAGTTTGGGATCCCCCTTCCGCTATCCCCTTCTCTAAGGGCTAAAATTTCTTTCCTGAGGGAAAAAAGAAAACAGGTATAAGGAAACTGCAAACTAATGGATTTCAGTACACTGTAAATAACTGGCTAGAAGATAATCCCCAATCTCAATAGGTGAGCTTTAGGTAACTAAGTGAAGAAAGACCATGGGAGTAGAGATGAGGAAACAAAAGAGGAAGGTTATGAGAAAGGCATAGAAAGGAAGAAGAACAAACTTTCAAACTTCACAAGTAGGACCTGGGTCAGACCAAGAATACAGCCATGAAGTTATTTCTTCATCTAACAATAAATCCAGGAATCTGTTTTACACTAAGATCTGTGCTTAACTGTTATACTTTCAATTAACACTGCTGACTTGATATAAAAAAACATCTCTCTCTCTCCTAGAGCATTTTAAGAAACAGGTTCAAATCAGTATCTAAACAAGTTACTATAATAGCAAGTAAAAACATAAGTTCCACACAATAGCACTGTATTTGTATACTTCAGTTTTCTGTACCACTGGCTTCTCCAAACTTGTACCACACAACAGCAATGTTTGATAAAGTCACTCTGACCTCAGCTATGCAATCAGCACATTCTAGGAGAAAATTCCTTTTCTCAGATATAGGAAACTTTTACCATTTTATAATGACACATATTCATGAACTTTGCATCCTTGTGTCCTGACACTATGTGGCCTACCACACAGTGATTTCAATGAGTTATAACCTCGCTTGCAAAGCACTATAAAGCACTTGTTCAGATAAACACTTACAATCTGAAAATTTCATTCTCTTTTTACTGCCAAAGGACAGGGCACCAAGGGAATCAAATATGTTAAAGAGGACAGATGCTTTGTTAAAACTGGCAGAGACTTCATTTTCACTAATTCTAGGCATCCCCATAGTGCCATTTGCCACATGTACTGCCTATAAATAATAACTGATAGAATATATACAATAAAAGAACAGGTCATCTTAATTTAAAATTTATAGTATTAGTTCATATCTTTGAAAAGTAGGACACATGAACTTACTTGCAAGAGGAAAGTATTTTTGTTTTTAATTTTATATATAAAAAGAGCATACAAATGCATAAAAATAAACCTAATTTTTAAAGAACAAATCAAGCATCCCACAAACTCCTGACTAGCTTTCTAAATAATGTATGTGGGAAATAAAAGAATTACTGAAAGGAAAAACAACAAAAGGTAAACAGTGGTTAAGTTATAATGACTTATTTTTTCTTTATATAATTCTGGATTTTTCCTGTCATTTTTCCACATGCGTTAATTCTTTTGTTTATTAAGAGAGTATTTTCCTGATAATACCCAACTTTCTTTTCATTAAATTGACAATGGCACTCCAAAACCAAAACCAAGAAGTACCTGTTTCACAATGAACCACACAAATTGTCAGAGCCCTTTCCCTTAACTATCTCATGTGTTATTTCTGTTGCCGACAGCAGTGGGCACTCTCTGACCCTATTAAAAGCCAAGCCTTGGACATACTGCTATGCCTCTACCATCCCAAATCCTAAGAAAACCGTAACAGGTAACTTAATCTCCACATCCAACAGTACGAACTTGAGCATCTGGTAATGCTGATATAGTTATGAAACCTAATCAGTCAATAAACAGCAAACATTTTAAAGAACCATTACGGAGATTATAATTCTCTAAACTATGCCAACCCTAGAGAATTTTGATCAAAGCAATTTAACTTATAAGCAAGGATGACATGGTCAATGACATAATGACATAAAGCTCAAGATATTTGAAAAAAAAAAAAAGATATAAACAATCTAATTAAGCTGGGCACCAGTGGCTCACACCTGTAATCCTAGCTACTCAGGAGGCAGAGATCAGCAGGATCAAGGTTCGACACCAGACTGGGGAATCAGTTCAGAAGACCCTACTGCGAAAAAGTCCATCACAAAGAAAGGGCTATCAGAGTGGCACAAAGTGTAAGCCCTCAGTTCAAACCACAATAAACAGACAAAAAGAAAAATCTAATTAAAATCAGTTTCAGTTCACTTTTAAGTAGTTCAAAAATGCACCAAAACAAAGACTTAACAGCAGGACAACAGTAAAGTTAGCCTTGCCAACAACCTAATACTACTTCAGCTAATAAATCCTTTGCTAATAATCTAATCCTACAGAGCTTGGACCTATGTTTTTAAATTGGATTTAGATTTTTAAGTGTACTCAAGCCCACATCAATTACAGATAGTTATGAGTAACCTGTGCACTGATCCATGTGGGGCATAGAAGCCATCCCTGGGGGAACATCAACACCATGGTAAAAACAGAACAAACAGCTCCAGGCAACAAAGTCTCTCTTGTGTGAAGACAACACAGCAACAGGCAGAATGTTTCTTGATGGTTAAAATAAGCCCTTTACCCACCCAAGAGAAAAGCCAATTTTTCATGCACCCAAGAATACAAAAGATCACTGAATGATGTAAAAAAAAGGCACTCCATCAACCAAGCTAACCAACAAGGGCCACATATGCAACAGATCTTCAAGGGCATTTTGCCTTACATTATTTGATAAACATTTTGTTTCCTATTGTCCCACAAAGCCAACTTAGGAAAGCAACAGAAAAAAAAACATGGCATGCTAGCTTCCTTGAGCCTAAAAAGCAATAACCTAAATGAAGTGTGATCTTAGAAACACAGGCTATAAAACTTACCGAACCATACTCTCATGTATTAATTTAGGCATGAATATGTTTTCCCAAAAAGGACATCTCTCAGGATGTAGAGTAAGACGTCAAAGAAAACAGAATAGGAGGGAAGTTGAGGGTTTGGACATTGCATTCTATTATTTCATATTCAATTTACCAGTTTCACACAATAGGTAATCTCTGGTAACAGACCAGTGAGAAAAGAGAGTAATAATAACCTTTGGCAAAATTTAGCTTACAAGATAACACTAAGCAAGGGAGGTATCAGATTCTTTCTTCATCATCACCTTTAAAAGAACATCTTGCAAAAATTATTTACATGAGCAGAAGAAGGGGCTTTCCCAGAGCTTGGCATAATTAAAATTCAGCCACCACCATCTGAGGTACTTGAACACATCTGCTGTGACTTGCCTCTCCCTAAGGAGTTGTAGCTGAAACCGATTAGCTAGTTTCATCAATTCAGTCAGGAACACATCATCCTCTCTGAAGTCCAATTCATCTGTATAGATCCAGCGAAGCATTGTCATTGTCACATCAGGATTAGCATCTGGTTAAAGAAAGAAAGTAGACAGAAAAAACTGAAAAGCACTGGTTGACACACTTAGACCTTCTTAAAGGATCCCTAAAATTTGAGATGAAAACAAAGTAAATTATGGTATATCAAATTCAAAAAATATGTACAGTCATTAAAAATGGTGATGAAGCAGTCTGAGCAGCATCTGTCTCTAGGAAAATATGTTTTGCACAGAGAAGTGGGTAGGGTAAAAGAAACTACTAAGGGCAAATCAACAGGGGAAAATAACTGAAATCTAAGACAAAACATTAACAGAACTTGAAATAAAAAAATCTTATAAATAAAACTGAAAAGATAGATACCCAATGGAAAAATGGACATTGGATATAAATAGGTAATTCATAAAGATAAAGAAAAATGACCAATAAGCCTTAAAAATAACCAATTGCAAATTTAAAGTACAATACATTTTATTTTCTCTCTCAGACTATTAAAATTTTTTTTAAAAGTGCATAACCTTTTACACAGCAATTATACACATAGATTATTAATCCTAAGAAAACAACTGGCAGGTTGGCAGAGTGGCTCATGGTAGAATACCTGCCTACCCAGCAAGAGGCCCTGAGTTCAAACTCCAGTACCACCAAAACCAAACAAAAACTGGGCAAACAAAGAAAAAAATGTATGATTTTTAATAATAAAAAACTGGAACAAAACTCTTAATGAGCCAAATAATGAGACTAATTTTAAAAAGCATAATATATACACTGGAAAAATCTGTGCAATTAAAACGATATATATCTATAACATGAAAAGATTATTTACCTATTAGGTAAATAAAAGGCTAAAAATGCATGTATAACATTATCTCACTTTCTGGCTATATGCATTTGTGTGAATATATGTGTATTAGTTTGTATGTGTATATATGCACATGCTACATACACAAGGGCACTTTTGTGTGTCTGTCTACCAACCTACCTATCAACAGGAAGGATATACACTAAAATATTAACCCAGTCATACAAAAAGCAAAAAGGGCTGGGGGTGTGGCTCAAATGGTAGAGTGTCTAACAAGCACAAGACAACCCTGAATAAAAACCTCAGTACCACCAAAAAAAAAAAGGAAAAAGTTAAACCCCAACCACACTTGTAAATAATCCCTAGGGCAACAAGAAGCCCTAAAAGGACAAAGGCTCTGTTAACATGGTGCAACAACCCACCCTACTTTAACTGCCTATAGCTAGAAACTCTAGAGAGAGCGTATTATCTGAGCCTAAAGGCAACTATGGAAGGAAGTAAAACTTTATTGGGGTGTGGGGGTAAGGAGAGAGGGAAAGAGAAAGAGGGAAGGGGGCAGAGGGAAGGGGATAGAGGGAGGGAAGGAGGAAGAGAAAACTGTAACAATAAGAAAATATTTGAAGGAATGATGGTAAAGAACTTCCCTAACTTAGTGAATGACGTTAAGTTGATAGACTCAAGGTAAGTGAACTCCAAAGAAGAAAATCATACCTACACAGAACATACCACAAACTGCTGAAAAGTAACCATAAATAAGAAGTGACACCCATCAAAACAAACAAAAAATAACAAGCACTGGTAAGGACATCAAGGAAATAAGCAACACATTTATGAATAGTTCATGGGTCAGAAAGGAAAAAAATCACAAGGAAAATTAGAAAATAACCTGAACTAAATGATAATCAGAGAACAACATATGAAAACTCACAGGACTCAGCTAGAAAAAGAAAGGCATATGGAGAAACTTAAAAGCTTTAAATGGTTATATTAGAAAAAAATCTTGGGCTAGTGGAGTGTTTCAAGCAGTAAGAGTGCCTACCTAGCAAGCATGAGGCCCAGACCACCAAAAATAAATAAATAAATAAACTGAAATAAATTATCTAAACTTCCACTTTAAGACAGAAAAAGGGAGGAGAAAAGAGTACAAAGATAACCACAGAACAAAAAGAAGGAAAAGTCAGAAATCAATAAAGTAGAAAAAGACAATAAAGAAACAAAACCACAAGTTGATTCTTAAAAAGGTAAGTAAAACTGACAACTTTCTAATAGTAAACATAAACTGCCAATCCAGAAATGAAAAAGGAGTTAACAGCTACCAACATTAAAAGGGTAAGAGACACAAAATCAACAACTTATGTGAAATGGACAAAGTCTTGACAAAAACAACCTGCCAAAACTGACAGAGAAGAAAAAAAAGTATGACTAGACCTATGTCTATTACAAAAATTTAAGCCAGGTGCTGGTGGTTCACACCTGTAATCCTAACTACTCAGGAGACAGAGATCAGGAGGATTGTGGTTCGAAGCTATCTCAAAAAAACTCTTTCACAAAAAAAGGGCTGGTGGAGTGGCTCAAGGTATAGACCCTGGGTTCAAATAGTACTGCAGAAACAAAACAAAAGAAGACAAATTTTTTTTCCCAAAAACTTTCCCCAAAAGCAAGCTCCAGATTCAGATTCTTTCCATGGTAAATTCTATCACATTCAAGGAAAAAAACAATAACACCAATCTTACAAAATGTTTTTCAGAAAATAAAGAATGAGGGATCATCATCAATTAATTTTATGAAGTCTGCATAACCCTATTACAAAATATGACAAAGACATTAGAAAAAAGGAGAATTACATACCAATATCCCTCATGATTGCTGACATAAAAAATACTTGGCAAAATTGCTTGCAAATAGAATCCAAAAACATACATTAAAAAAGGCTGTAATATATAATGACCAACCAAGTTTTATTACCAGGAATAATGGTTCCTGGTTAGCTTAACATTTAATAAAAGCAAAGTAAGTCATTATATTAACAGCATAAATGAGAAAAATATATAATCATTTTAACAGATTGAAAAAGTGTTTGATAAAATTCAAAATCAATTCATTAAAAAAACTAGGAAATAATCAAAATGATAGAGTGCATCAACAAAAAACCTACAACAGATAGACATAATGCTAAAAGATCTCATTGTTTCTCCCTGAGATGAGGAACAAAGCAAGAATTCTCACCTTCAGAAATAACTGTATCCAGGTTATATACAGAATTCTTAAGACTCAAGCAACCCAATTTTGGAAGTGCAAAAGATGTAAACAAACACTTCACAAAAGATATAAAAATGCCCACTCTCACACAAGCAATGCTCAACATGACTCATTATCAGGGAACACAAAATAAAACCTCAGTGCACTGTACATCTACTCAAATGACTACAGTTATAAACAAAACCCAAAATAACCTGACCATACCAAATGTTGGTGCGGACATGGAGCACGTGAAGTTCTTGTTCGATACCTGCTGGTAGAAATGTAAAATGGTACATCCATTTTGGAAAAGAGTCTGGTAGTTTCTTTATATTAAACCCAAGAGAAATAAAAACGTAAATATAAATAAAGACCTAACACAATTGAAGAAACTAATTTTATTTCTAATAATAAAAATAAAAAACCCAGAAAGAATACAAAAGTCTACTACTAGTAGGTAAATGAAAAAAATAACTTGTGGAGTTTTTTGTTTGTTTTGTTTTGGGTGACACTAGGGTTTAAACTCAGACCCTCACACTTGAGCTATACCTCCAGTCCTTTTTTAGGCTATTTTTGAGATAGGGACTCCAAAACCATTTGCCTGGGCTGGTCTCGAATCTTGATCCTTCTGATCTCTGCCTCCTGAGTATCTAGGTTTACAGGCATACCACACAACCACACACTTAGCATAACAAAAAACTGGAGAGGAAAACACAAAGGCAGCATTAGGATTGAGTGAAGGGATATAAGAACAAATAGATCTTTCCCAGCTCAAAGAGAATCTCTGGGAGTGGGTCGAGCTGTTGGCAGAGGGCTCTAGGCTGTTTCAGCATCCTTGTGATGTGCTAGTTAACATTCCCTAAAGTGAGCAATCCAAGAAGAAGCCACATGCCTTTTAAGAACTATCTCTCTACTGTACACATCTATGGAATTATCATAATGATACCCTCTTATATAAGAAACTCCAGTGAAGCTGTAAACAATCATTTTGCCTGAAGCAAATTGCTTGATTTTACAAAAGAGTAACAGTGTTTTCTTCCTTCAAGATTTTTATATACTGTGTTGAGCTAACAGTCATATTCTTTCTCTTCCCAGTTGATCACTCAGTATATTTGCAACATATCTTCTTTATTTCTATTAAGGGATAATTGACAAAATATATTTTTATATATTTATAGTGAACAACATGATTTGTTTTCTTTTCTTTTTTGAAGTGCCGGGGATCAAACCTGGTGCCTCACACATGTGAGGCACATACTCTGTCACTAAGCTACATCCCCAGCCCCTAAAATGAAGTTTTGATATATGTATATACTATAAAATGGCTAAATCAAACTAATTAATATATCCATACCTCAAAAACTTATATTATGACACTTAAATCATTAAGAAATAAATAAAAAGCAGGGCTGGGTATAACTCAGTCATAAGAGTGCTTGCCTAGCATGGGTTCAGTGTCCAGCACTGCAAACAAAATAAATAAAAAGGAAAGTTGTATCTTTTTCATCTTTACATTTTAAAATAATCGCTCAGAATTAGAGAAAAGTTTCATAGCTTTCCCATATACGCTTTACCAATCTTCCCTTGATGTTAACTTTTACATAACCACAATCATCAAAACTGGCTACTTAGATAACATATGTAACACTATTAACTAATTACAGACTTCACTTTGCTAATATTACCAATGAAGTCTTCTTGCAGTCCAAAGTCCTCCAACTTGTATAATAATATTTCCTAAGCCTTTCTTGTCTTTCACAGCCTAGACATGTTTGGTAACACTGGCCAGTAATTTTGTTGAATGCTCCCAAATGGTGTTTTCTCATGATTAGACAGAGGCCATACACTTAGGGCAAGAGTCCACAGAGATGACATGCCTTTGTCAGCATATCATACCAGGTACAACATGCTTTTCTGAACAACGTATGATTTAATAAAAGTTTCTTATTTGCAAATGCTTTTAAAATACTTGATATATAATGCCTATTGCATTTCATTGACATATTTCATATTATATTCTTATAATATTTACTACAGAATTAAAATTGTGAATATTTTTAATTTTAAGATATATCAATTAGGAGCCGCCTGCCAATGCCTCATGCTTGTAATCCCTAGCTAGTTAGAAGGCAGAGATCAGGAGGATAGGGTTCAAAAGCCAGCCCTAGGCATATAGTTCCAGAGACCCTATCTTGAAAAAAAAAAACCATCACAAAAAAGGCTGGTGGGAATGGCTCAGGTATTAAGAGTGCCTGTCTAAGTAAGCATGATGCCCTGTGGTTCAAACCCCAGGGTGCCCCCCCCCCACCAATCAATTACATAAGAACTTCAAATGCAGAGCTTAGGAGTCATATTTTCTAAGAATTTCAATTCCACGCAAGCAAGAATTTAATTTTGCTCACAGCTGCAACCCTAGCACCATGAAAAGTGCCTACCATTTGGCATTTGTTATATCAGTGGAATATAATAAATCCATAAATTGAATTTTATCAAGGCTGTTAATATGGAAAAGTTCAGCCACTTAAAACACAGCTTTGTGCTATTTATATAACTTGCTCACATGAGCTTGTTTCCAATCTCCTTCAAACTGCTGGCCAGTGGTTCCAGGTATCACGTAACAGTCTCTAGGCAGTTTCAGCAGCTGTAACCCTACATTTAGGCATTCACACCTAAACTCAGCAGGACTACAGAGAAAAACACAACTGTGTGAAACAGCGCTATGCATGCTGCCACTACCTCTTCCCCGTGACACACCTCAAAGATAAATTCCATGAAAAAAATAAAAATAAAAATGCCACAGCCTCTACTATCAGCCATTATTGGCTTTGAAGTGGATCACTCCTGAAAGCAAACCTTGTAGTAAGAGCAACATATGCTCACTACTTAAAGCAGGAGGTGTCCAGAGATGTCTAAAGGCATTAACATCATACTTTCCTAAACCCTAGAAAACCTGATTTGCAGTGAAGCAGTCTTATGGCTAGACAGTAGTTAAAACTGCTTTTAGATGTTATAATGCACTTAAAAAAAAAAAGTTTAATACATAGCAAACTTTTAAATTTAATCTTTAAGTTAGGTGTTTTAATATTTTAGTGCAATTTTCTGTGTTCTTACATGATTTTATTGTTTTTCCCATTCTTACTCATTTAGGCTGCAGTCAGTACTTCACAATGACAAACAAAATTATGATTAATATTAATGCTGCCTGATTACTTATGCCAATATCCTAGAAGTCAGGAAATGAGGTTAAAAGAGGTAAACCTGTTTTAAAGCCCCACTAAGTGCTTCCTGAGATGTCAAGACTATCTACAGCATCACCGGCATGTGCAGGGCACCAATCCCACAGGCCCACGACTGCTGTGATCAATCCCCACCCCCACTGGGGAGGAACCTGAGGCTCTGTACCTGTCTAGCAAGTACTCCACAACTGACCATGGCCCCCAGGCCTTTTGCTTTTAATTTACTGTTCAAATTGCTCTTGTAATTTTGCTGGGGGCCGGCCTCAGATTACAATCCTCCTAACTCTGCCTCCCCAGTAGCTAGGATTGCAGGAGTAAGTCACCAGGCCCAGCAATCCCACCACTCTGGAGATAAAAATCAAGAACTCTGTGCTACACAGTGAGTTCAAGGCCAGCCAGGACTATAGAGTGAAACCCTGACTCAAAAAACACTACACTTAAAAAAAAAAATCTATGCTCTGAGATTTCATCACATAAACTGGTGCCATTCTAGTAAAAACTGTTTCCCAAGTATACATTTTGGTTCTAGGCATGAACGCAGATGCCTATCTACACACATTTTTGTATATTTACTCATGTTTACAACTGCAAATTGTGTGCCTCAAGAAAACCCTGGAAATTATAATGATTCAGAGTTCACTCACAGTAAAGAAATATAAAATATCTGTTCCCTTAACTCCATGAGATTAACACCTACTTGTGCTTTCTAATGCTTGCTCAGGTGTCAGTCACCTTGATACTTTCCATATTAAACCAACTTAAATCTCTTCTGTACTATACACACGAAGCAATTACATTACCATATGTGTTAGCCCTGAAATAAAATGATTTGCTAATTAACAGCCTGCTTCCTCCTTCAACAGAGTACGAAGTGCATATGGCAGGGACCACGTTACAATCATCATTTTTTTTTTTGCAGTACTGGGGCTTGAACTCAGCCTACACTTTGAGTCTCTCCACCAATCTTTTCTTTTGTGACAGATTTTTTTAAGATAGGGTCTCACAAACTGTTTGCCAGGGCTGGCTTCGAAACTCGATCCTCCTGATCTCTACATCCTAAGTACCTAGCATTACAGGTGTGAGCCACCAGTGCCTGGCTCATCTAATAGTCTGAACAAAGACATAACTCAGCAGAATTTTCACATAGCCATTCACTAATGCAAACATTATTTCTTAACGTTTCCTAGTATTTCTTTTTTGCTGGGGATTAAACCTAGGGATTCATGCATGCTAGACAAACACTCTATCTGAGCTATGCCTCCAGCCCAATATATCCAATCTTAATGCCTGGATACTGCTCTCATCATATTATAATTCTCATAACTATTAACAGTAGAATTCAATTAAAACTTTGCTTCTTGAGTTTGTTCAATAGCTGTTAAAACAAGTACTAGATGTAAATTAAACTTTAGAGTAAATTTTTGAAAATGTCTTAAAGTCCATCTAAACTCTTATCTACCCCAAATCTACAAAATACAGCATAAAATAAGTAACATAAAATAGTCCGATATACCTATTAAAATAGTAAAATAATTAAAATTGTTTTTTTCTTATTGTTTTTTTTTGAGACAGAGTCTCATAACCAGTCTGGTCTTGAACTTGGAAACCTCTAGCCTCTGCCTCTGAGTGCTGGGGATAGAGGTATATACTACTATAATGAGTCTCCACTATTTTTTTTTTTGTGTGTGTGTGGTACTGGGGATTGAACCCAGGACCTTGTGCATGGTAGACAAATACTCAACCAGTGAGCTACATCCCCAGCCACTAAAATTATTTTAAAGTAAATTTTATTATGTTTAAAGCATATAACATGATATTATCAGATACATATATAAAATGGTTACTACAGTGAAGCAAATTAACATATCTACCAAGTCACATAGTTACTCAAAACTATTAAAATTCTAAAGATTGCCAGCGTGTGATTTTAAAGAAAAAATATTGTTATCCTTTAGAGTAACTGCTACTTCTGAGTTTTGTACCTGCAAGAACAGAAAAGGCACTCTGAAAGTTATAAAATTTTAAGCAACTTCACATGCAGGGCATTTTTCTTGAAGAAAATATATTTGTACATCTATATTTATAACATACTACTATATGAAATGAGCTTATGGACAGATATGTATACTCTGTAACTCATAAAACCATTGCAGATACTCAAATATTTATGGTTTGTCAGCTGCAAATTAAATACAAGTATACACAAAGTACAACTTCTGGACGATCTACATCAATTGATAAGAAATGAATTAATTCCATTAAACCACAAACACACCATAACTTTCTCCAAAAGAGTTCTTGTGCTGTCAGTTTTATGTCCCTGATGGGTCGAGGCTTACCTGACAAGTCCAACTCCTCAGTGGATGACAAGTTGGCCAGACTCCAGCTGTCACTGCGGGCTGCCAGGACAAACTTGTGAGCACTGATGTGTCTGCCCCCAACCTTTATTTTCAGATCACTGATGAAGAAAAACATTCACAGATATGAGAAGACAGCTGTCATCAAAATTAGGTATAGCTACGGTTCCTTGATAAACACATCAGCACTGAATGGTCAACATGTGTCTATGAAAGGAAAGGAACACAGCAAAACTGCTTCAGTATGTTGGGCCATGCCTGTAACACATTGCTGGAAATGTTTCCTGTCTCTAACTTCTGCCTTTAATTGGTCTGGGATGCTCTGCTTTTCAATACATTTCCTAACAGTGAACCTGCAAGTCAGATGATTAGCATTCATTTAAAAACAGGACATGCTTTATGCAGAATAAAGCAAGATACACAATTAGGGAGAAAAAATGGAAAGCTTAAAGACTATGCTAACAGCTGATACTACACTACAGCTATGCTCCAGCAACATTAGAAAAATTATGAACAGAGTAGCTCTGACAAAACAGGCAAGAATATGAAACCCATGGGTTGGCAGAGTGTCTCAAGTGGTAGAGCACCGGCCCAGCAAGCTTGATGCCCTGAGTTCAAACCCCAGAAACACACACACACACACACACACACACAAAGGGCTTAAAAGAATATAAACAATACTCCTGTCCTCATTAGAAACATTCTGACCTCATACTATCCATCTATCACTCAACTGTTTATCAAGGAAGTAGGAGTGAGGCATGTGGCAGGAGGATCATATGTTTGAAGAAAAGAAAGCAAACAAGACAAGACAAAAGGAAAAAGAAATGAGGTAGGGAAAAGTCCCTTTCTTCAAAACATGATTCCATATTTATGACACTCCACTATGTGACAAGAGTTTCCCAACAAATATTTATGTTTAACTCTAAAATGTCAAACGCTAAGGAAGAAAAGCATCTGGGCAGTTAACGAAAATTACAAGATGATCCACTGGGCTGACACAAGTATGCGCCACACAGCTATGTTGGCAGCAATGCAGTCACTCGTTATATAATCCTGTTATATTTTACATTTCTTTTTACCTTCATAATCCCCTTTAAAATTATTATGTTGGAAAACCTTTAGAAACATAATAACTAAATAAACAAACACTAGTTCATGGGGGTAAAAAAAGAAAAGAAAAAAGAATTAACCCAGTAGTTGAGTGTTTACCTAGTATATAAGACCATGGATTCAAGATCCAGCACCACAAACAAACAAACAGCCCTACAAATCAGAAATGAAAAATCCAGTAAGTCTATGGGGCTTCAGGTAGAAATAATTAAGAGCCTAGTCTTTTTTAAGAACTTCATTCCAGTCAATTAAGGAGTATTTCCTGGATGGCAACACAGCTCACTAGCAGAGCACTTGTTTTTTAAAAAAAAAAAAGATCTTTCCTTTTAAAAGATGGAATCTATGATGTTGTTACTAGAAAAGAAACAAAGAAGAGTTTCTCAAACACTTCAATAAGAAAAACTATAAGCTTGGCTGGTAAAAGAAAATAATTATAGGGAACCATCATTTTTAACTACCTTGTGGGACAAAAGCCTTCTACCAACCTAAAGTAAAAATAAATGTATAAGTCTCAACATAAAAAAATTAGAACTTACATATCAATCACTCAGTTGATCACTGAAATGCACATAAAGTATTATTTTAATTCTTCAACACAATGCATGCTATGGAACAAACGTATTTTTTTTCCTATCTTACCAAAGATAATTGCTTTAGAAATTGATTTCCCAATTTCAAGTACCTCATCTCAAGAACTCTATGAAGACTCCAGTCTCCACCTATAACTAAATTATGGATGATAATACAGCTATTCAACCAAATGGGCTTCTAACAGGCTGTGTGGCTCCAGAATCCACCTCAACACTACTACCCATTAGTTCCAGGAATCCATTCGCAGTTACAGGAAGAGAACATGACCTCAGGCAGGTAAGCAAACTCCTACTTGCCTTCCAATGCTGTCACCATGATAAAAATCTTTGCCTCAAGAAGCTTACATTGTAGGGAACAAAGGCTTGCTAATAATCTTGATCAGAGAGAAATAAATCTGGCACGAAAGTGAATAAGGAAGGGCTGGGGGCGTGGCTGAAGCAAGTGGTAAGTGCTTGTCTAGCAAACACAAGGTCCTGAATTCAAACCATAATACTACCAAAAGGGAAAAAAAGAAAGTGAATGAGGAGAAGCTGTAATGTGACCCCAGGGAAAAAGCAAAAGGACTCACTTCCCCTGTGCCCAGAAGCTCACCTGTACTGCTCCTGTTCATAGAGGTCTGCCACTATTGTCAGCAAGCGGCTGATGAAGGACTCACTGTTGTTCTCTTTATTTGCCTGCGCAGCCAAAAGAGTACATCTTTTTTCTGTCTCTGCCAGTTTCTTCTGCAACTTGACATACTCTTGTCGGAGAAGCATCAAATGCTTCTCCAACTTGGCCACTTCTTCTGCAAGGGAAACAAACAATCAAGTTTACCTCTGCAATTGTAAAGCAGACAGCATTTATTACTCCCTCATTCCACAGATGGAAAGGCTTTGAAAATGACTAGCCACATGATATTTCTATTATTTCTTGGTTTTAATAACACAGATCAAAAATGGCTTTGTCTCTGGGTGCTGGTCACTGGACCAAGGAGACCATAAAGATGCTGACAAGTACCTAACTTGCAAATCCTTTACTGTAAAACCAGGAGTCTCAAAAAAAGGATATTAAAATCACATAGAAGACATTTTCAAAAAACTAATGTCAATAAGTAACTTTTACTTATTGCTCTTCTAAAAGCTCTTCTAAAAGCTTTACATGAGTTCTTCCATATAATCTTCATGACAACTCTATGAGGTAGATACTGTTACCAGCCACACTTTACAGATAAGGATACTGGAGCACACAGAGATTACAAATTTGCCCAAATCTTAAAGCTTTTTGAGAGGTGGGGCTGGTATATGAGCATAGGTATCTTTATTCCAGGGACTACGGTCTTATTAACCACTCCCCTACACTACCTGATACCCATCCTCCTTTAGGTGAAATCAGGGCAGTCGCTAATGGTTCCGATGGAGGCAAAGTCATATTCTGCAGATGAGTTGGGGCAAATAAAAAAAAAAAAGTTGTGAGCCACTGTATTTGATTAAGTTCAATAGGTAGGGCCGGGTGTGGTATAATCCCAGAACTATGGAGGCTGAGGGAGGTTTAAGAATTCAAGGCCAGCCTGGGCTATATAACAAGACCCTATCGTAAACAAATAAACCCATCTGAACAAACATTTGGATGCCGACTGGATGCCACTCACTAACTTACCCATACACACACTGGAACTCACTATCATCCTGCCCCTGCCTCTTGAGCAGCTAGGATCAGAGAGGCCTGTGCCACCACACCCATTCAAATGATTTTTATAACAACTAAAATAATTAAATACAAAATTAAAATTCTACCTTAGAGGGCTAGAAGTAAAAACAGATATATGAGCTATCAATACAGACATTTAATTTAGCTTCCCTGAGGAAGTAAACAGTAATGACACTTCTTTCCCTGGCTCTGGAGTCTCAGAAAGGCACAGGACTGGGGATTCGTGCAACCATTCCAACTATAAATCAAGATCACTATATGTGGAACCACAAGGCTGCTACACTCATCCTCTCTGAGCCTTGGTAACTTTGGCCCCCACTCCCTAACTATATTCCAAATCCTGATGCTGCCTTCAAGCTCATCTTTCATCTAACCTACTTCATTCTCAGCCAAAAAACACTGAGCTACTGCCAGTGATTCTGCTACAGTTTGGATCTAGAGCATCCCCCAAAGGCTTATGTGTTGAAGGCTTAGTTCCCAGATGGCAGTGCTACTGGGAGGTAGCAGAAATGTTAGGAAGTGGGGCCTAGGTGGAGAAAGTAGGTCACTGGGGGCATGTCTTTAAAGGGTAAAGAGTATTTGTTATATTTTGCCCCTACACCTCCCCTCTCTCTCTGCCTCCCTCCACCCCCTAAGGAAGGTGATCAGCTTTGTTCCACCATGTCCTGCCTTACCACAGGCCCACAGCAATGGGGCCAAGCTGAAACTTCTACAACCATTAGCCAAAATGAGTCTTTCCTTCAAGTTGTTTTCTCAGGTAATTTGTCACAGAAACATAGGAGTTCACTATCACAAACTACCACCACACCAACAACTACTCCCACCTACCCCATGCTTCCTCAGCAAAGTACCTCTCCTCCTACCAAAGTTTAAACCCTCCATCAATGCTCCAAATCCTATTCCTTTCCCTCCTCCTCAGGACCTGTGCTTTATCATCAGCCACCCCTTCTCCAGCAACTTCAGTCTCTTTCAAGGGTGCTTCTTATCAGCAAAATCATCCTTACACCCATCTGAAAACCTCTACCTTCCAATTACCACACACAGTTTCCCCACCAGTTATTCACCTGCCATTTCTTCATTTTGTCTTCACCATCCCTCAACACTTCCTTCCCAATGACCTTCTTGCTGCCAAGTCTAATGGACTCCTGCCAGTGGTTCTCCTCCCTGACCTCTATAACCCAGCATGATACTGCTATCTATGCCTCTTTTCTTCTCTCATTTCAGCAACCACAATGTCACCTGCTCCCTCATGCGGATTCTATCTCTTTCACGTATTTTCTTGCATCCTCCTCACATCTGACCACTGGCACCCCTCAGGATTCTATCCTTAGTCCTCTTCTCAACTGTATGTTCTCCCAAGGCAGGCTCAACCAGGTCTCCAGTCTGCACTGATACCACAATCTAGGTACCAGTGATCCACAGATCCATCTCTCGAGTTCAGATCTATCTTCTTCACTTCATCTGTCCATTGGCCCAGCAGGCAATTCTTCCTAGTGGTCCAAAGGCACCTCAAATTCACTATGATCAAAACTCTAAGCAAATCTACTCTCTTCTTCTGTGGTTCCTATACTATAAATGACACTGTTATTTATCATAGTGTCATAGTGATTAATCTTAATTATCAGCTTGATTGGATTGAGAAATTCTTAGAAGATGAATAAAGTATACCTCTGGGTTTGTCTGTGGCAGGTTTACAGAGGTGATTATATCATGAGGATACTGACTTAGTTTCCTTGATGGATTCATAATATGGCATTATTAGGAGGTCATGAAAGATAGGAGGTGGTCTTAGTTGGTGAAGCAGATCACTGGATACTTCTTGGGGGCTATAACTTGCCCTGGCCTCTTCCTCTATCATCTTTCTCTGCTTCCTGGCTGCTATGATGTGAACTGCTCTGCTCCACCATGCCCTCCCCTCCATGAAGGACTAACACCTTTGAAACCATGAGCCAAAATATTTTCTGTTTCTGTTTCTGTCAGGTATTTTGGTCACAGTGACAAAAAAGTCACTCCGTTGCAACCCAAATGGAGTTATGTGGGAATAAGCATAGATATCTCCCATTCATTCACATGGTTCCAAAAGTCAGCAAAAATTAGTGACTATTCCACTTAATTATCTCAGGGAATCATTCTTATCATCTGAATTCACATCTTTACTATGACTTCAATTGAGGTTCTTAGTCATCACATCCAATTTTCTCCAGGGTGAAGGATTCATGCCTAGCACAGGATCTGACATGTACTCACTCACTAAATATATGATTAAGTTGAACAAATAAAATTCAGTTTTATAAAAGAGGATTCCTTTCTTCAATTTTGTCCCTCTCCCATATGCTACCCAAAGTTGATCTTTTTTTTTTTTTCCTGGAGTGGGGACACATGTTCTCGCTATACAGACCAGCCTGGTCTTGAGTTTGGAAGTACAAATGATATATATTTTTTCCAGTATTGAGGTTTGAACTCAGGGCTTTGAGCTTGCTAGGCAGGTACATTATCACTTGAGCCTTGCCTCCATTGACTGATTCTTTATAAACATGGAAACAAGGAAAACCTGGTTCAAAAACATAATGTTCAAATAAACTAAGTAGAACCTCATTTTGAAGTGATCAGGCAATCATTAATAATTTCAAAGAAATATATAATACTAGGGCTGAGGATGTGGCGTAAATGGTAGTACCTACCTAGCAAGTGTGAGGCCTTGATTTCAAACCCCAGTACAGCCCCACTCTCAAAAAGGGTGAATTGAATACCCTCATATTCAAATAATGAAACAGGCTATGAAACTAAACAGTCTATAATTCCAATTTTAATTGTAAATAGTCACATATAAGAAGAGTAAAAAAACACATTAAGTATCATAGAATGTCAGCTGGTCTAGTGTAGAAGGGGGGATTTTTCTCTTTTGCACTTTGTGTATATTTCAGGTATTCTATAAAAATTATGTCCTGCCTTCCTAATTAGAAGAAATCTTTTAAGAGAAATTTGCTTAAGTACTAATGTTCTATCTTTTCTTTGTGTATACAATAGGGAACATTTTTCTCTGGATTCAAAAACTAGATGTCAAGTCTCAGGTGTAAATTAATACTCCTAGGAAAATAAATTTGAAAAGCACTTTCAAGATGAAAATCTGCTTTTAGCTGCTGAAGTGATCACTGTATTAAAGAGTTACATGTAAGAATTCTTGTGAGGCTGGTGGAGTGGCTCAAGTGGTAGAGTACCTGCCTAGCAAGTGTGAGGCACTCAGTTCAAATGCCAGTGCTGCCAAAAAAGAAAATATATAAGAATTCCTGTAACAAAATTTTTCAAGTTCTGCAATTATTTGGCCTACTAATATTTAAACCAAACGATGTTTTCAAAATGGTAGCTAAAGGACAATGATACTTACAATGATTTTTTTTTTTTAATTCTTAGAAAGTTGCACTTAAATTACACTAAACCCCTGGGCAAACCCAGCTCAGTGCTTTTAAAATAGTGTGATAAATTTATAGGCCACTGATTTTGAAGAGTTCTTTACAGTGACTCAGACTAAAGAGCCAAGGAAGTACAACTGCTTGCCTGTAAGATGTAAACACTGACAACAGAGCAGTTAATTCACATTATAGTACCAAATTTATATTCTTTATTCTTTTTTCTGAGAGAAAGAAATGGAGTGTAGTAATTAGAAACATAAAAGGACATATAATTAAGACCAACAAATTCCTTTCAAAGCCTTCTAGCAAAATGAATCCCTTGTAGCAAAGTGAACCTATGATGGCAGAAGTTTTCTGTGGCTGGGCCCCAATGGCTCATGCCTGTAACCCTAGCTACTTCGGAGGCAAAGATCAGGAGGATCTCTGGGCAAATAGTTCAAGAGATGCTATCTCGAAAAACCTCTCACAAAAACAGGGCTAGCGGAGTGGCTCAAGGTGAAGGTCCTGAGTTTAAAAAAAAAAAAAAAAAGTTATCTGTGGAGGAAGTAGAAACTTTACAAAACTGGGAAGATTCAGAAAGTTGCCTGCTGAGATGTGGGTAACATTCTTTTCTTATTTTTCTTAGTTGTGGTAATACATGTTTTATTTTGAAATTCACTGAGCTCTATGCTTTGGATTTGTGCTTTTC